AAAAGACTACTGAATAAAGTGCTTCTAATAATTGAGCAAGCTTATTCTGCCCCATGTGAATTTTCTGCATCTAGATTTTTTATGTTCTAAACTAAACCAAGATTAGGCATCCATTTCACTTTTTAATCCATTTATAGGTGCCCCTACCTAATCTGGAAAGCTTATGTCTGTGCAGTTTACCATTTGAGGTCTGGGAGAACAAGGCCTGGTGGAGTCTAATCTGAAACATGGGTTTGAAAGACTATAAGCTTGTAAAGGATTTCAGCAACTTGAGTAAGAAGTACTTGTTAAATATACCCTTAGTACAGCCCTCTTTGAATAATTCCAATATGACCAGACAATATGGGGTTTCAAAAAAATTCAAATTGCTTCAAAGTGGTGTTGACTTCAACATTGAAGAAATCTCTTAAATCTGATTTTGATTATGTTAAAGCCCATACTATATTATAAATTGTTAATTTCTAAAGTTCTACTGCCCTTTTGTTGTCTTGTTCTTAAAATGGGTGATATATATGCTTTGTTATATATAGAGACCCTTCTAATCAAGGTGAAAGAAGAAAGCGCAAAGGCTGGGTTGCAGTTAAACATTTAAAAAAACCAAGATTATGGCAACAAGAATGATTGACAACTGGGAAATAGAGGGAGAAAACATGGAGGCTGTGACAGACTTTGTATTTCTAGGTGCAAAGATTACTGCAGACACAGACTGCAGCCAGGAAATCAGGAGACGCTTACTTCTTGGAGGAGAGCAATGACCAATCTTGATAAAATAGTGAAGAGTAGAGACATCACACTGGCAACAAAGATCCGCATAGTTAAAGCAATGGTATTCCCCATAGTCACCTACGGATGTGAGAGCTGGACCATAGGGAAGGCTGAGCAAAGGAAGATAGATGCTTTTGAACTATGGTGTTGGAGGAAAGTTCTGAGAGTGCCTTGGACCGCCAGAAGATCCAACCAGTCCATACTTCAAGAAATAAAGCCTGACTGCTCATTGGAGGGAAGAATAGTAGAGGCCAAGATGAAGTACTTTGGCCACATCATGAGAAGAAAGGAAAGCTTAGAGAAGACAATGATGCTGGGGAAAATGGAAGGAAAAAGGAAGAGGGGCCGACCAAGGGCAAGATGGATGGATGGCATCCTTGAAGTGACTGGATTGACCTTGAAGGAGCTGGGGGTGGTGATGGCTGACAGGGAGCTCTGGCGTGGGCTGGTCCATGAGGTCACAAATGAAAAAACCTACAGCCAACACTCATATTTTGTTGCAGGGTATGCTGATCAATGAGATTTAATTGAGAGTTACAAGAAATCTATGCTGATCAATGAGATCTCATTGAGAGTTACAAGAAATCATAAAGCCATAAGTTCAAGTATCCTAAATCCCAAGTTGGATTAATTTAAATGTTTGTTTCAGAAGGAACACTATCAATTCAATGTAGAAAAACTGCCTGTAGGTATTATTCTTTGGTTAGAACAAACACTACTAATGTTACAGAATTATAGGAGGCAATTTCCCATGAACAACAACTTATTCTGAGAGCCAAGTTGTCAGCATGGCGGTTTGAGAATGTCAATTACCCAGCATTCTGCTTACCTTATAAGGCTGACAGAAATAGCTGGCAAATTGTATCAAGTGAAATGTGCTTCTTACCATGCTTTTTTTTATTCTTTCAAGACATTTGGACTTCAGAAAAAGCTGTGAGCAAATTCAATATTGTTTTTCTTCTTTCCTCACACTTCACAGAGGACTTCAGAGCACCAGAAATTGAGATTATACATGACATTGATCTATTAAAAGACATGTATGTCTATTTTTCAAGGCAAGCATTCCATCACAGTCTTCCTCAAGGACAACATTCCATCACATAAGTAATTAAAAAAAAACCTAGACAGATTATGTAAACCAGGAGCACAGATGATTTCTATGTCCCGGATTATTAGGGAAAAGACATAAAGCAATATTCTAGCAGAGAGCCGAAAGAAGCCCAAAAGGTTGTTGGAGTGTGTACACATATAAGACAATATGGAATCAAGCAAATGTGGTGCCGAAAGTTCCAGAAGGATATTAGGATGTGAAAAAAATAAAGCAAGCAATAGACTATTTCTAGGTGAGGAGGAAAGAGAGCTAAGATGAAACAATGGAGGGGAATGAGTGAACTTTTTTTTACTTATTCCCATTGGTGACAGGTTTATTGCTAGTCAGCTGTAGAACATAGCATCTGTACCATGATAGGTCTGCCAACACCAGCAGTTACTATAGGGATATCTCTCTGGTTACCTTTTTTTTTTAGCAAAGAAGAAAAGACATTTAACATTTCAAAGAGATCTAGAATGTCTTTCAAAATATATGCAGTTATTGTTTTGTTTTGCATCTTTCTTCTGTATGGATTGTCTTGAGGAGACGTAATTTGATTATCTACTAGGATTTGGGAATAACAACTTTGCCACTATGCACAGAGGAAGACTGCATCACAAGAAGATTGATTCAATCAAGAGAGCCACAGCCCAGTGTTTGCAAGACCTGAGCAGGAGAGTTGATGGCTGGGGTTCTTAGAGGTCTCACATTAATAAGATCACTGCAAACTGAAATCAATTTAGGGTAAATAACAGTATTGGGTTGTTGTAGGTTTTTCAGGCTGTATGGCCTGCCATAGATGCAGGTGAAACGTCAGGAGAGAGTGCTTCTAGAACATGGTCAGACAGTCCGAAAAACCTACAACAACCGAGTGATTCCGGCCATGAAAGCAATTGAACAGTATTGTTGTCATGATGCAAGAGCTTGTGTAATACAAGGATCCTCATTGCACGAATATGCAATCCACTCTTTATGTATCCTGCATAATTAAATGTTTTGTATGCTTCTACACCACAAGATATGCCATGACTATATGACACTTAGCGGCCACCTTCTCCTTCTGTGTGGAATACACACAGTCATTATTGCCATGTGGGATAAAACAAAGCTTTCTCATGTGTGTAGGGTAACTCTTTCTTTCTGTAATTCCATCTGTAATTCTCATAGAATCATAGAGTTGGAAGGGACCACATGAGTCTTCCAGTCCAACCCTCCACCATGCAAGAAAAGCACAATCAAAACAAACTCTTTCATTTCCGCTATGAAAGTGTGATAAATATTGGTTTATGACATCTTTCTTGCTATATAGTTACTTTCTACTATCCCATGGCAGGAAAGTTTAAAATAACCTTTGTTAAGTTCTGTGCAAATCCAAGTAGATCAGGTGTTTACATTTTCCATTAAATGTTTTGAATCCTCTGAGTGCAGCATTCATTATAAATACACCCAGCTATGCTCCTAGTTCCGTAGTGAGGGACACCCCCCCAGCCCCGGGCATGTATGGTAGGATTCTAACGCCCACCTACAACATCTTAATTCTTATGCTGAACTGTCAAGTAGAGATAATGCAAGTTGACTATGTAAATGTTGTTGCCTTGTTCGTATTCTAAAAACCAGGAATCGTAGAGACAGGAGCATTCACTTTCCTTTGAGCTATTTCAAATGTTCTGCCAGTAATAAAACTTCAGATCAACATTGTCCACAGAGATCAAATATCTTACATGGGTGGGCTCTCAGCACAGTTCCTATTTTGGTTCCCTCTTTTGAACTCTGCTTGGTTCATCCCTGCCCTTTCTGAGGTAATCCCTGCAGCTGTCAGAGATTTTCCAATTGGCATTTAGCTTTGTAAGGCTTTTGGTGTATGGAAGAGAAAATGAAGGGAGGGAGGACTGGGAAGTTTCTGCTGTCATTTTAATTCCTTTTGCCTTCTTCCTTACCACCTGCTTTCGTGTGCATGTCAATGTATTAGCAGAAATGTACTGTGCCCCAGGATAGACCTCTCTAGATCTGTTTCTGTGATGGACAGGCAGTTTGCCAAGGAAAGGAAAGAACAACTATGAGAAACTGTAACTATGGTTGCAGCTAGCTACTATTACTAAAGGGAGGAGTTTGGAGCTATAGCTGTAATTATTTTTAAAACAACATCTCCCAGCTGTACACTAGGCTGTCCAGTGCATCTGCATTTACAGTGAGGTTTTTATTAAAACTATATTGTAGCTTGAGAAGCTTAAAAACTGAAATAATTTCAAAATGTATCAAAATCAAATTAAAAGCTCAACTTAAAAACATTGCTCACACTTAGTTTTACAGTGTCTGAGTTTTACTGTTCGAAAAGCAAGCACTTATATATTGATCATTAAAAAAGGGTATTCCAAATTTTGCTAGATCTGGGAAAAGCCATTTTGCTTGTTATGGGGAAAGGGTAGGAAAGAACCATATGTCTCTTCTACTGTGGTGCATGTATGGTAAATTGCAGCTGGTATCTGAGCCCCAAGCTGTTTAATGTGCAAAAGGTTCGTTTGACTACCATCATGTAGTTGCTGTCTTAAGAGAACACACTGCATTTTTAAACTTACTGTTCTCCTTTCTTTATCTGATACAAAATGGAGCATGTGACAATCTCTCACCCTGGCAAAAGGTTTTAGTAGGACCACTGCTCCCTTTGGGCATGCATTGTGATAGCATACAATCATAGAATAATAGTATTGGAAGAGATCACATGGTTCATCTAGTCCAAGCCACTACCACACAGGAAAAGCACAAAGTACCCTTGATAGATGGCCAGATTTGAACCACCATGTAAAAAAACTGATTTCAATGTAATTTAATCATATATCAGAGTGATTGTTGCACTTAATATTTATACATCTAAAAGTTTTTACAACAATTGTAGAGTTGCTGACTGAAAAGCCCACAATTTTCTATTTTACTGTGAACATGTTTCCTTGATTATCCCCTGTCTTTCTGATGACTTTCATAATCGTGTTGGTAATAGACAGCCCAGCTATAAAATCAGAATTTGTTTTAATGATCTTGGTGGGATGATACTAAATGCAGCCACATTTTGTACTGTTGCTTCTAATGGGAACTGTGGGGAAACTTGGTTCCATGTATCTTCCAATTCAGAAATATGATTGCCTTGTAGGAATTTGCAACTCTGACCAGGGAACTCAATGCATGCCGAGAGCAGCTGTTGGAAAGGGAAGAGGAAATCTCAGAGCTGAAAGCAGAGCGTAATAACACAAGGGTGAGTAGACATTGAGTTTCAGTATTTGAGATGCCAAGCTTTGTTGATTACATGTCCCAAAAGAGCTTCTTCTGAGCAGCAATAGACTTTATCCTAAGCACAACAGTCTGGCCGCACACAAATTTCCCTTTGCTCTGTCCATTGGATGCAGCCACAGAAGTCCTGCTGTTTACTTCCTTGATTAGGTTTAACAGGACAGAAAGCTTTCTGTAGAATTTCCTATCCAGTCAGTAGAATCTAACTTCTATTCTTGATTGAATAGGAAGGTTTTATTATAATCTCTATAAAATCCAATTTAATTTCTTTTCAATGTTGCTATTGTGTTTTGTTCTTATTACATTACAGCTTGTATTCATGCTTACAGAGACTGTTCAGTCCTTTGTACCCAATAATATTTGCCTTGTAACTCCTAAATCCTGAATCTCCAGGTTTGCTAAGAAATCTTGACCTGCAAAATCCCTTCTAGCAGTACACAAATCCAGATGTGCCCATTCCTGGGAAATAGTTTTATGAATACATTTATAATATAACATATTTGGTTTCTTTTTCCTATTACCATGCTGGTAGTTTTTTGATGACATACCTTAAAAGTGCAACTGAAACCTATTTGAGAATTTTCTGTTATTTATAGTAGCTTAAAGTCAATTATTGTGAAAACGTGAAGCGAGAGAAAACAAACTCCTCGGTTGATCACTCTGATAATTTATTTTTGTTGTCACCATCTTGGTTTATCAACTCATGGATCACATTAGGTTGCTTGGGGAGAAAAGTTGTTTTATGTAGGACAATAACACGTTGGTAGTAAATATAGCTAATACAGGTTGATTATCCTTTATCTGAAATGTTTGGTGCCAGAAGTGTTATAGATTTAGATTTTTAAAAATATTTTGGAATACTCATATTTGCATACACACATATAAGGAGATATCTTGGAGATGAGACTCTAGTCTAAACATGATATTCATTTATATTACATATACCACTTATATACTTATCCTGTAGGCACTTTTTAAAACAATATTTTCAATAATTTAGTGCATGAAACAAAAGTTTGTGTACATGAAACCAGCGGAGAGCAAAAGTGTCACTATCTCAGTCACCCATGTGGACAATTTTTGATGTTGTAGTATTCACATTTCAGAATTCTGGAGAATGTTTGCTCAACTTATATTCATTTCTTCAAAGATTTTGAAGATGTTTAGTGCTTTCCAAACATTTCACTACATATTCAATTTTATTAGCAAACTGGAGATTAAACCAACCCCTTATAAGAGATACAGACACATACTTAAATTGCACTAGTGAAATGTGTGTGGACACAACAAACCTGAAGGCGCTTATATTAATCAAGATAAATCAAACGAATTGAATCAAATAGCAAGGATTAAAATAGCAGTAGAATTAATTAATAAATGAATTAAAAGTAAAAGTAAACTGTGTGCAGAAGAGTAGTATCGAACTGGGGACCATAGGACTTTCAAACCCCATATGAACACATTCAGCTAAGAAAAACTCAGTGGGAGCCTTGACTTAGGTCTCCATAAGTTAGAAAAGACTTGAAAGCACACAACAACTACATTAATCTAAGATGATGATGATATTTGTTACCTGCCTCTCCTCATGGCTTGAAGCTAAAATACAGGGATATAAAACCATTAAAATGGAAGCCTGATCTGTCTGTTGTGCAGTTTTCTCTGAACAACTTTCATTTATCTGTGATGTAATACCATAGTCCTGGTTCCTGAAGCTCAGAGAATAATAATAATAATAATAATAATAATAATAATAATAATAATAATAATAATCTTTATTTATACCCTGTCACCATCTCCCCGATGGGGACTCGGAGCGGCTAACATGAGGCCAAGCCCAAACAACAATTACAATAAAGAGAAACCAAAAACGCAGAATGAAGTTGGTGTTTGTTTTGGATAAACTGGTTGGTAAAATAATAATTGTGCTGTGCATATTCATAAATAGTGAGCTAAATTATGACCTCTGTGCACAGAAATTGCTTCACAGTAGAACTTGACTACAAGTTTGTAAAACCCTGAATACACCCAGTGAAGCAGAAAAGCTGTTGCTCTGTTTAACACTGGCTTTGATTTAAGGATAATGTGGGTTTGTCCTTCCCTTGCAGCTTTTGTTGGAACACCTGGAGTGCTTGGTCTCAAGGCACGAACGCTCTCTGAGGATGACTGTGGTGAAGCGACAAGCCCAGTCACCATCTGGAGTCTCCAGTGAAGTTGAAGTTCTAAAAGCACTGAAATCTTTGTTTGAACATCATAAAGCACTGGATGAGAAGGTGAGCTTTGTTTTAACTACTGGTTAATAGCAAAACCAATGCTTAACTGCTTAACTTTGTAGGACTAAAGGGCTGTAGTTTCTTGAAGTACACTGGCTGCCATCCTGCTACCAAGCACAATTCAAAGCGCTGGCTTTAGCCTACAAATCCCTAAACTCGGACACTTGATCTTAGCCAAAAGGCCGAGAATCCTTAAACAGTTTCGGCCCAGCTTACCTGTCCGAACGTATCTCTCTCTATCAACCATCTTGGAGGTTAAGATCGTCCGGGGAGGCCCTGCTCTCGATCCCACCTCTTTCACAGCTGCAACTGGTGAGGATGAGATACAGGGCCTTCTCAGTGGTGGCCCCTCTGTTGTGGAACTCCCTCTTCAGAGAAATCAGATCAGCTTCCTCCCTCCTGACCTACAGATAGAAAGTGAAGATATGGACCAAGCCTTTGAACAGTAACTCCCAGTGCAATAAGTGACTGTGGAACAGTGCAGTTTACAACTGGAATGGTTCTAGAATATGCCTTTGGATTGTGTGGTTTTAAGTAATTAGTTTTTAAGGTTGACATGTTTTTAATTATTGGGTTTTAATATATATGCTTGTTTTTTTAATCATATATATGTGTGTGTGTGTGTGTATGTGTGGCATCAAATTGTGCATTTTTGTGAGCCACCCTGAATCTCCTTCGGAGTGAGAAAAGTGGGATATAAGTGCAGTAAATAAATAAATAACCCAGCATTTCTATTTAGCTATTAAAGGCTCCATTTTACTTTCCAGCATAGAAGAGATCACTTCTGCTGCATACAGTCAATTGTGTGTTTAAGTATTGCATTTGCACAGCATTTTTCTGCAGATCTCTCATTAGCCTTCTGATTCATTTCATGAATGGTGTGCACCTGAATCAAGGCCCGTCCTTTGAAGAGGAGCCCCATTTATATCATAGGAAGCTGCTGTCAGAGTTGAAGCTGCTGCTAGAGTTGAATCTGTACACATATCTCTGTAAAGGGATATTTCAGCTTTCCTCTACATCTGGCCCAATTGAGCTTCAAACCCACTGGATTTCTCTGTGTGAGCTGCTGTAGTGGTACTCATGAGATTTTCTGCTGCTTATTATGATAAAAAGATTCCAGGCTTTAACTTCCTTCATTAAAGTGCACAGTGTCCTGCAATTGCATTTCTTGTTCATGAGCCTGAGTGTGGTTATTTTTTTCCCCTTTCCACCAGATAATGTAGGGCTTTTGACTTCATTGAATAATCTGTATTAGCACAGTCCCTTTCTCATGCTAGATTGTATTAATTGTTTCTTCTGAGAAGCTCCAGAGGCTAGCTGAGGTTTTTTTTTTTAAAAAAAAAATAACAAACTTTTTTCTTTTCCATGTTCTCAGGTGAGAGAGCGTCTACGGGCATCACTGGAACGAGTAGCTACCTTAGAAGAACAGCTGTCTAGTGCCCATCAGCAGGTAAATATGCGGTTCAAGATTCCAGTATACATTTCACAGTGGTGTTTCTCATATGAACTGAGACTACTACTTCTATCATGTATATGTACTATATCTCTTGCATCACATTTCATGGAAAACTGTGTGCCAGCAAATGTGTTATATAGCATTGTCAACGTACTTTGGTCATGTCCTGTCTTCAGAGATGTTGTACCTCAGGATAGATTCACCTTGCTTTCTCTGACAAAACCAGCCAATCTTGAGAGGTAGGAAGTTTATTGAGACAATCAAAGTAAAAGCAGCATAAAATTCAGTGGTTACAAGGTAAAAAGTCCAATATAATCCTTTGGAGTTTAAGCAGAAGACATGCAGCGAAACAAGAAGCCCAAACCAGGAAGCAGCTTAGGTTACATGAAGCAGGCCGTTGCCTAGCCCCCGAACTGGGCTACTGCAAGCCATATTGCAACGTTGAAACTAACACAGGATCACTGTCCAGGCANCTTGTGGGTTGAGGTATGTGCATGGGAATTTTGGTTAATTTTCGTTGGGGAGTTTTTGAGTTTTGCTGTCCCGTTGGACGCCCCTTACAGACTTATAGATATAGATTCTTGCCAAGTTTCTGAACTCCACCATCTCTCTCTCTTTCTTTGCACAAATGCACACATTAGCAATCTGCTCAATTAGCCGAAGGTGTGACATCATTAGACATAAAGACATATCGTTTAACTGCCTCTTGCAAATACATTGAGTTAAAGGCGGATTCACAAGGAGAACTTCTGTTTGGTAAGATGTGTCAAGCCACTTTCTATATCTGGATTCCGGAGAAGTATTTTCAGTGGATTTACAGTATTCCCTCACTTATCGCGGGTGTTACGTTCCGGGACCACCCGCGAAAAGTGAAAATCCACAAAGTAGGGACACTATATTTATTTTAATATTTATAGATTATTTTAGTAGTTATACACTATTTTAAGTCTTTATAAACCCTCCCCGCACACTTATAGTGGGTAACGGTGGTGGTTAACGCTTCCCTTCGGGAAGGCGAGATTCCAGCGAGCTTAAAACAAGCTATTATAAAACCGCTGTTGAAGAAACCATCATTGGATCCCACTAAATTTGACAACTTTCGACCTGTTTCCAATCTCCCCTTTTTGGGCAAAGTCATGGAAAGCGTGGTGGCCTCACAACTCCAGGTATTCTTGAGAGACACGGATTATCTGGATTCGGCACAGTCTGGTTTCAGACCGGGACATGGAACTGAGACGGTCTTGGTCGCCTTAGTGGATGATCTGCGCCGGGAGCTAGACAGGGGGAGTGTGTCCCTGTTGGTGCTCCTGGACCTCTCAGCGGCCTTCGATTCCGTCGACCACGGTATCCTTCTGGGGCGCCTTGCGGGAATGGGCCTCGGGGGCACTGTTCTGCAGTGGCTCCGGTCATTTCTGGAGGGCCGCACCCAGAAGGTGTTATTGGGGGACACCTGTTCAACGCCACTGCCTTTGACTTGTGGGGTTCCACAGGGCTCTATACTGTCCCCATGCTGTTTAATATCTACATGAAGCCGCTGGGTGAGATCATCCGGAGTTTCGGGGTGCGGTGTCATCTGTACGCAGATGATGTCCAACTCTGTCACTCCTTTCCACCTGCTACTAAGGAGGCTGTCGAGGTCCTGAACCGGTGCCTGGCCGCTGTAATGGTCTGGATGAGGGCGAACAAATTGAAATTAAATCCAGACAAGACAGAGGTACTCCTGGTCAGTCGCAAGGCCGAACAGGGTATAGGGTTACAGCCTGTGCTGGATGGGGTCGCACTCCCCTTGAAGGCGCAGGTTCGCAGCTTGGGTGTGATCCTGGATTCATCGTTGAGCCTGGATCCCCAGGTTTCAGCGGTGACCAGGGGAGCATTTGCACAGCTCAGGCTCGTGCGCCAGCTGCGCCCGTACCTCGGGAAGTCTGACTTGGCCACGGTAGTACACGCTCTGGTCACATCCCACCTTGACTACTGCAACGCTCTCTACGTGGGGCTGCCCTTGAAGACGGCCCGGAAGCTTCAGCTAGTCCAGCGCGCGGCAGCCATGTTACTAACAGGAGCGGGACGCAGGGAGCACACAACGCCCTTGTTGTTCCAGCTCCACTGGCTGTCGATCTGCTACGGGCCCAATTCAAGGTGCTGGTGTTGGCCTACAAAGCCCTAAACGGTTCCGGCCCAAAATACCTTTCTGACCGCATCTCGGCCTATGAGCCCACGAGGACCTTGAGATCATCTGGGGAGGCCCTTCTCTCGATCCCGCCTGCCTCACAGGCACGTCTGGCGGGGACGAGGGATAGGGCCTTCTCGGTGGTGGCCCCCCGGCTGTGGAACACCCTCCCTGTAGACATCAGACAGGCGCCCTCCCTTATGTCATTCCGCAAGAGCCTAAAGACATGGTTATTTGAGAAGGCGTTTAACTAAGTGCTACAACAATTGGCAATGATGATTGGAACGGAATATGGATAACGAGATTGGTTTATGATTCTACGATGAGACGGCGCGGATGATTTAGTGTAATTGTATTATTGATAGTTATGTTGATATTTTGTTGTGTTATTCCCTTATTGTAAACTGTTTTTATATGTTGTACACCGCCGTGAGTCGCCCTAGGGCTGAGAACGGCGGTTAACAAATGCAGTAAATAAATAAATAAATAAATAAATTAGATGAGTGCAACATAGTAGCTGAATAGTGCTTCTAAAACCCCTAGACATTAAGAAATATAAGTTTTGTGTCATTGTGATGATAGAGAATGGATAAAACAACCTGGCAACAAGGGAAAAATTTAGCATATTGCAAGCAACAGCAATCATACAAGGAAGGGATGGACAAATTGCAGCAGTATGGTATTTCAGCACTCCCCAACCCCACCCCCCCTCCAACTATTTTGGACTACAGTTTTCAGAAGCCTCATTCAACATGGATAGTGGTTCATGTAGTATATCTGACCAAAAGTGTTAGGAAAGAAAAAAGTCAAAGCACATCTTCGCAATTGAGTTGTTAAAGACAGTGAGAAAAATATTACAAGAATAAGGGTAAAAAGAAACAATACATATCAGCTAATCTCATTAATTACTTCCTGAATTAACAAAAAAGATGTGTGACTTCCAAACCAAGAGCATGGTGATAGAATCGTGCACCCAATGAGCCATACATAACCCACACATTACAACATGTGTATTCTTCTTTATTCTTCTGTATGTATACAACAATCTTTAAGTTTTACAAGGTTGGTTATACATTTAAAAGGGCCTATTTCTATTGCTACTCCCATGTAAAGCAAGGATCAATTGCTATATGAGATATAACAAGCTGTAAACAAAAGGCAGAAAATGATGAATTTTATCCCTTCAAAATAACCACTGTGTTTTGGCTAGAATATATTTATATGGCTTTTAAAATGCTGTTAAAAAGGATAGTATGCATACATTGCTAGTAATAAACATGCTAATTTGTGTGCCATATTATTTTAAATATGAAAGAGAATAATCAAGTGGCCCAAGTAGACTCACATCCATACAAAACACAACTCCCAAAATACTTACAAAACAATTCAAAAATTTCCCTGTTGTGAATATATCTCCCAAATGTTGTGCAAGTGGCATTTTTTAGCAAGAGGAGGTGGAATGTATTCTTTATGCAGTGTCAAATTGATCTTTTTTTCAAGTTTGGTTAATTGTAAAAAGTAATATCTAATTTGATAAATACTATAGTTTGAAAGTTTTGTAAGTAGATAGAGAGTCTTGTCATGCAAACATGCAATTCTTGTTGTTATTGCTCTAGTATACTTTAAAGATTCTAATTACATGTTTAAATTAATATGGAACATGTTCATGCACAACTTCTACAGTCATTCAATGTATACCTTGTCTGTAATGTTAATAATGCACTGTCCACCTTCTTAATAGCCCCTGAAGATGGCTGTATGATTTCTTTCCAACTGTGAAATTCTTTCTGGCTTTTGGAACAAAACACAGTTTTATACATGCTTCAGTTCTGTATCTCTTTTACATTTAAGTTTTTAAACCACAGACTGTTTTTAGCAGCATTAAAATGATTAGTTACAGTGATAAAAAATCAAGGTAATGTTTATTTTCTCAAGCTTTGAATCATGTCCCGACAGGTAAATGATTCCCTGTTTCCGTTTGTCTTGCACTTTTGTTCCATGAAAACCTTAAGTGTAAGTATGTTTTTAAAATGTATTTCTTTTTCAGATAAGTGCCCTCCAGCAAGGCCTCTCCCAGAGGGAAGCACCTGTGGGAGAGGATGAAAAAAAGCCTGAAGGCAAGGAACTGGGGCAGAAAAAACTTTGGAAGGTAAGATACATCCTTTTGGGAAGAAGGTTCTTTTATGATACCATTGAAATATGATGCATCCTCAGTTGTGTCTCAAGTAACCAGCAATATTTCTTGAGATCCCTTTATTTACAGAGAAAGTTTGTATTGACTGTTTTCGAACTTTGAAGTGACAGAAGGGTTGAACATGTATAACTTATTCAAATGCCTCATTTCTGGAAAGAACTTCTGCTATACGATACAGCCGCACATGGATGCTTCTATAACAGGAGTGTTTTATGTAATGACATTGCATCATTTCTTTCTTTGGGAGATAGTGATGATCCAAACAATATAATCTTCCACTTGTAACTTTTCTATATTTTATTCCTACTGCTTCTGTTGCTTTTTCTAGCAGAAGGAAATTGTTACATGGGGAAAGTAGCGCAATGCTTTCTGATTTGCTGCACCAGGAGTTATATATCTTGAAGTATATTCCCTTTAATATTGTCAGTGTTCTATTTATACTTTCAGGTGCTGGTCTTCTGGCAGCTGGGAAGTTAATTTTTAGCTGTATCACTCTGTGACTTACATTCTGCTTATGCTGCTGTGTCATGCTGAATATTATATACCTTTTGGAACTTAGTTCTTTGTTATGTCACTTGACAGAGACTCCCTAATGGCTCTGTACATGCAGATGACGAGGCAAGCCGTACTGTGGAACTGCAAGAACTTCTAGAAAAGCAAAACTTTGAGCTCGCACAAGCTAAAGAACGGCTTGTTGCTCTTGCTGCCAGTGTTGCTGAGTTGGAAGAAGATCTAAGCACTGCCAGGAGAGATCTAATCAAATCAGAAGAAATGAGCAGCAAGTACCAGAGGGATCTACGAGAGGTTAGAGAACTTTGTTCCATCAGTTATAACATTGGGTGTTCAATGACATATAGTTGTGTCATTGCTAGAAATGTGCAAGTCCCTACTTTCTCCAGCTCATCTAGAAAATTACTTGAGTTTTGAGTATTCACGGAGGGTGATGGTACCTTTATCTACATAGGGAAGGGGTTAAGAGTTGGACTTCCATCAACAGCACTCTCTGACAGTGCTATACGGAGCATCCATAGTTCCTCTTGAGAATCGTGGGGTTTTGCCATAATGACACCTAATACCCCTCCACAAAGTAAACCACTTTTAGTTTTCAAGATTTGGAGAGGATGCTCAGGTGGTGAAGGCAGAATGTGACAGAGCTTGAAATGTTACATTTGAAAATTAATTTATTTGTGTTAATTGTTAGACATTAGGAAATTAATGATTTATTTCTTAACACTAATAAAATAGTTTAATACATTCTATTGCTGTTAATTCATTTATTGCCTGAACCACTGTTTTTGGAGCAGCCTGTGGGATTTATAGAGAACAGCATGGTGGCTGTCATCATGCCCCCCATCCTTCCCAAGGGCACACTTTGTTATTGGTTCCTTTAAAAGTGCAATTTTTGTCATTTTAAAGGTGCCTTCTCTAAAGGGATTTTTTTAGATTGATTATAAAGTTCATAATACATTTGTAGTCTGGTGATAAAGGGACTCTGGTATTTCTGGAAGCTGTCCCAAAACATGGGATCCCATTTTGCAACATCTTCAATTAGATTTTGTCACTGATATGCTTTTCTTTTATTTTCATTCCACCCCTCTGCCTATTTATATTGTGTTTCAAGCATTTTGTATATTAAATGTTATTCACAAGTTATGATAAAGATTGGTAGAGTGATGTGTATAATTCAGCTAGCAGACTGATTCACTATAAGTGCAACATAAGTGGGTGGGTTTAAAGATCCACTGGTGAAGCAAAGGTATAGAATTCTTAAAGAGAATGTTTTGAGTCCCTGCCCACACAGAGAAAAAAAATTTGCCCAATCGACTCATGTCATCCTTGGTGCCTTCTCATTCTTAGTCAAGAAGCATTGTCTGCACATACTGTGATAGCCGTTTGTTTAAATTTCTTGTACTATCAGTCAATCAAAGAAAAATATATTTGTACTCATTCTTTTGCTATCTGTCTCTGTTTCCTATGATGCATGTGAAATGTTTGCAGTAAAGCTTCAAGATATAATCAAGGTAACCCAAAGACTGGTGACTGTTAAAACAGCTCAAAACATGTACTCTAGCAGCCTGACCTTTCTGATCTTCTATATTAGTGTTCTGTTCCCAAGTTGCTTATAGTTTATGGTAACTAAGGTGACCCTTTAATGAGGTTTTATTGGCAAGATTTGTTTAGCGAGTGTTTGCCTTTGCCTTCCTCTGAACCTGGGGGTGGGTGGTGGGTACCTTGACTGATTTTGGAATGGGAGACCAATTTTGGGTTATGCTAGCTTGAAGGTGACTCCGTTTGATTTAGAATGGTATCAGCCTATTTATATGTGTGTGTGTGTGTGGAGGTGGAATTTATATTTTTAAAGCTTTTCCCTCTTTCATAACAGGCTGTGAAGCACTGAATGTAGGGACTGCTATTAGTTTGTGGCATTACTTCTTGTGCTCTTCTTCATGTACAGTTTTGACAGTTTCAATGACAGTTTCATACTACTGCAAAGTGAGTGATTTCCTCAATTCCTTATCCTCACAGGCTTTAGCACAGAAAGAAGATATGGAGGAGAGGATCACCACTCTGGAGAAGCGCTATTTGGCAGCCCAGAGAGAAGCCACTTCCATTCATGACCTCAATGACAAACTGGAAAATGAGCTGGCCAACAAAGAGTCTCTCCATCGTCAGGTAATGAGCTTTGATACTATACCTTCTGAAATACCAGAGATAATCTGTCTAAAAGGTATACAGGATCTCTGTTTGAATACCCATGCTGTTTCTTCAGCACCATTCTTTTTAACATGGATTTTAGGATAGTTTTTAGATCTATTGTCGAAGGCTTTCATGGCTGGAATCACTGGGTTGTTGTAGGTTTTTCTGGGCTATATGGCCATGTTCTAGAGGTATTTGCAAATACCTCTAGAACATGGCCATATAGCCCGGAAAAACCTACAACAACCCAGTTTTTAGATCACTTTTGGGAATATTTAAATAATATTTTATGTATTTTAAAAAATAGCTTTAATTTGTTTTTATTGTTCATTGCCTCAGTAGCTCCTGGGGGTTGGGAAGTGATACAGAAATACTTTAAATAAATACATACCCAAAGCTGAACAAGAGTTCAGTGCTATGAAGGATTTGTGAAACCTTGCTTTTCTTTGGATACTATTTTATTTTTTAAAAGAGCATAATGTGTTATTGTTCAATGTGCAAAACATCTCAGATGACTAACAAATGAAAAAAAAAATAATTGCAAAATTGCACTATTTATATAATTGTGTATAACTCGACCTTGTGTATACCTTTTGGGGTCAAAATTATGGCTTTTGATACCCATGGATAAGTTGAGGGTCATTTTTGCTGGTAATGAAAAGTCCCTCTGTGGAATGGTCCTTGTAGCTTTAAGGGGGCAGCTGCTCTGTCCACTGCTCCCTCCATTTCCCCACCCAGGCATTCAAAAAGGTATTGTGCCACTCTGAAGGGAAGTTCCTTTTTAAAATAAAAGTTAAGGTACATCATTACCTCATATATTTTTTTTAAAAAAATGATCCACCCACTTCTTTGAGTAGAGTGCTAAAAGATGAGAGCTAAGCCTGTCCTGGGAGACTCTGAAAGAAACAGTAGCCCCCTCTATTCTCTCAACATTCCTTTGGACTCATTTTTGGATATACATACTAGAGAGAGTGGGTTGTGGTATGTTGGAGCTGTTTTTAGTGGTCCCAGCTCCATATATTCATTATTGCCTTTTTACCTTTGTCCTTCAGTGTGAGGAAAAGGCGCGTCACCTCCAGGAGCTTCTAGAACTGGCAGAGCAGAAGCTGCAGCAGACAATACGGAAAGCTGAGACATTGCCTGAGGTGGAGGCAGAGTTAGCCCAAAGGATAGCAGCACTCACCAAGGTGAATGTACCAGAGATGAAATATGCTTCCTAATTATTCCCTTTCCCTGAATGGCAGGTCATTGCCTTAAATTTATCTAAAAGTTTCAGCATCCTTTCTCTCTACAACATTGTTTTGAAACAGAGATGATGTCAAATTTTTGCAGTAAAATGTGCCACTGTATTTTGTCAGCAGATCACTTTACATTGATGCTGGGGGAGGGGTACACTAAGGGATCACAGAAGGTGGCTTGGCAGACTGAGAGCCATCTGATTCCTACCCCTGTTATATAGCAAGATTTAGATGTCCATCCTGCACTCTATCAACTCTAGTTTAATGCAAAGTTGTTTTAGGTTTAAATTAAAATATTCTGTTGTGTATTCATTTGTGAGCACTCCAGCAACATGTCTGAGAGCCTCTTTCTGGCATCCCACTGGTTATTAGCTTCCCAATCTTTCATGAATCATGGTCACGTCTCACATCCTTGCATTGCGTGGGGACTTCCATGTTAAAGATTCAAGAATAGAGAGGTGAACATCTTTTTATACATCAATATTGCCAAAATAAATCAGAGTGAAATCATATCCATATTCTTCAAGATTATAACAAGAGAAGAGAGAAAAATAGACACTTTTATAGTTATCTACCTATACACTTTTAGTGAGCTAACAATATAGTTTTTATGTCTAATTTATGCAAGTATAGAGAAGTGACCATCCTTTTTACATCAATATGTCTTTCTCCACTCTAGTTTCCCAGTACTTGTAAACTTTAAAGAATGTCTTCTCTGTAGGCAGAGGAAAGGCATGGCAGTATTGAAGAACGGCTGCGTCAGCTGGAGACTCAATTGGAGGAGAAGAACCAAGAATTGGCAAGGGTATGTTGATCTCTATGCAGCGCACTATCCAGGGCATGTCATAATTTCTAACACTTTCCTTACAGGAAACCAGTTTAGAGCAGAATGGTCTAACTGGATTGCGTTTAACTATTTCTGTTGGGGTTCTTTTTTCTTATGGAAGGATTCTCGAAGTACCCAGAGTGATGCAGTATAGAGCTTGCTGTTTATCGCTGTCATATGTTTGAAGAAACCCAGCCAAATCACCTCTTTGCATTGCAGAAGTCATTCACTTTAATCGTATGAGCTGGATTTGTTTGGGCTTGGGGAGATGGGGTGCTGCAACTTTGTGGACTGATTCTTGGTCTCTGGGTTATACAGGTATGCCCAGGGCTCATCAACAATGCAAGCACCCCTCAAAAAGGTGTTGTTATGGTCTTCAAATGCTGGCAAGAGTTCAAAACACATGTGTAATCTCTTATTTTTTTTTAAATCAGATGTTAATTGATGAAGAACCCACTTGGCACACACATTCTGTCTTTAAGGTTGTGGATAATCTGTGATCATAACAATATTCCTCAAAAATCTCTCCAACAGTCATATGCCATTCTGTGCAAATCATATTATCCATCTTGTTTCTATTTTCATTGGAGCCTGCTGTTGATAGCTTTCCATTACATCGTTTGTCTTCAACACTCTATCTCCTTAAAATTTTTTTTTTTACCCATCTTCACACATTACATTCATCAGTTTTTCCCTTGCCATATAAATTTCTAAGCCAGTTGTGGATGTTGGCAGCTGTACATTCTTCTTTGGTCAAGAATTTGATGACTTCTATTTTCCTGCTACATATCCATGGTTATGTAATGCCTAGAGATACAGAAATCATGTCAGCCATGTAGCAAGAATTACTTTATTTAATGGTTTAATAGCATCACATTTGGATTAATAGTTTCGGAGAAAATGACAAAGATTATTTTTACTAGAACCTTCATACTTACTTAAATGAAAAGAGTGGCAATGATGCAATGGCTGACAGTGTGTGATTTTCTTCTTATATACTGGAATAAATGTGCACGTAGAACGATCACATGAATCACCTTTAATATTCATAAGAATTGTGCTCTTTCAACTTATAAGATGAAGAAACAGAACGAATCTTTCAATCAGTGTTGTCCTCTTGGGGTAGTTGTAAAAATGTTTGTATATAAATGGGTTATGGGTATGTATGTATGTATATGCATAAATTAAAGGGTGATTTTCTATATTAAGTGCTATTTTCCGAAATCTGGAAAAAGTATATTGGAATTACTTGACTGATCATGATTTTGCTTACAGGCTCGTCAGCGGGAGAAAATGAATGAGGAGCATAACAAGCGACTGTCTGATACTGTGGACAGACTTCTGAGTGAATCCAATGAACGGCTTCAGCTTCATCTAAAAGAGCGAATGGCAGCTCTTGAAGAGAAGGTATTGCAACTGATCCTTTCACTATGCTGTATTGAAGTGGAAAAAGATAACATTTTTGAACAATGGAATTTTGAGGGGAGGGGTCTAAAACACCACTCTAAAACATTTGAAGGGTCTGATGGATCAAATCATACCTATTCTTGGTCATTCAGTTCTTCTGCTACTATACAAATCTAAGACTCTGGAAAAATTGTTTTAGCAATAGATTGTTGGTGTAGTGTAAATGATTATGGAGACTAGGTATGTAGAGAAGGACCCCTTTGTTGTTTTGATTCCTATTTTTGCATTTTTGTTTGAGTTAATCTTGTTTCTTACCAAGTTTCTTACCAAGTATAAGGAATATAGAGAAGTATGGGGTTTGTGTTTTTACAAGGCAGAGTATTCTTATTTTTTTACTTTTGTTTGAATCATGTTATGTGAGTTCCATACACTTCACAAATCTATATTTATGCATTGTATTCAAGTTTAAGCATTTGAGAAATGCATCAAAAAATCAAACTTTGTTTCTGGAAGACAATAATTAGTTCTTAAGTGAAAATATATGTATTTTGTATGTTTGTGAAGGGGTGGTGAGGTTTGGTATGGAGACATAAATATTGATAGAATGGTAAAACAACTGTAATTTTGTTTTGATGACTGGGGTAACAAACATTTACTCAACCACCTCCTACCTTGCACCTCAGCTGACCTTCTGAGTGTCCCTACTACTGTCTTTTTAAAAAGAATACAGTGACTGTAATATTGTCATGTGTGAAGAGTGATCTTCACTGGGCGGCTCAGTACAAATCAATAGTAACTTTTTATTCTAACCATCCTCATACAGTTATATATGTCAGCTCTTGCACGTTTTGAAAAATAATAGCTGTTGTCAAACAGGAGCAGAAAGTCTAATTGGGTCATAGCTGTAGAACTCCGATTGTGTTAAAGCAGGCATTCTTCAGTTTTTTCCCAATGATGGTGTTGCATACTAAGAAATTGGTGCTACAGATATATATGAGATCCTGTGATACATGTAGACCAGAGTGGGAGGGGCTCTCAGGGGTCGGACCACCTCCCATGGCATCTTGGACAGATGTATCTTTTTTATTGTTTTAAAATTTATATTAACCAAAAATGTCTACCATTATTCACTAGGGTTGACTTATCCTAGTTGGTTTCTGTTTCGCTTCCATAAAAAAGGCATCTCCTGGGCCTGAATTATCTCACAGGGTTTAAAAACATGGCAGAATTGTTCCTCATGGCCTTAAGGTGTGAGGGGAAAATTTTGGCCCCAAAATGTGTTTTTTTAAAAAATATTCTCATTTTGAGACAGGGTGCTGGGAGATTGTGGCACCTTAAATCTGCTTGGGGAGAAGGGGGGCATGGGCGTGGATGTGTCCCTCAGTCTACCTATTTCATACCCCTGTATATAGTTAAGACACTTGAATGACAGCACCTGGTGTTTTGCATTATTCTTTTTTATTTCCCCAGTTCTATTGTTATCAGAGGTATTTAAAATCCCTCCCCTCTTTAAGAGCTAACGTTCTTCATGATCATAAAATAAGTGGGAGCTAGGTTGATAATCTGGATTATTTTATTTATGCTGATCAGGGCATTTGTCCTGTCTTATGTTCAATCCACTCTAAACTGCCATCTCTGCTATATTGCTACTATGCTTGGGGATGTAATCGCAGCCTGCCTTGATTCATGCTGCTTCGTAACTACCTTTTCCAGGAAGCACATCTTCAGGAAACTCCCATACAGGCATCAAATAGCACTAATGATAATAATCAGGCTTAGCTCACGGTGGAAACTCCACTACGTAATCATGACATTCGGGTTCAGAGGAAACAAATTTTCCATTTATCAACAGGGGTGATGCTCAGTGATGTTTGTAGTGAAACCTTCCTCTCTAGGTATTGGAACTAGAATTTAGCTCTAGCATTATCTCATTTGTACTGACACTGAAAATAGTATTTTACATGCATTACATCCAGGAGTGATTCTGTGGGACATGGAGGAATAATGTTCTGGGCAAAATGCCTAATTGGTTTCCATCTGGGAAATGGACTTCATTTAGTGCTGCCAGTTTTAGAAATTGGCAGGAAGAGTGCTTTTTGGATGAGCTTTGGCACTGATCAGTGTGTGACTTTGGGGTCTCTCCATACTATTTCCCTTTCATAAGGCTAATTAAAAATATTTAGAAGCTGAAAGTATTTCACTTATACTGTGTTAGTAATTTACTTGTGTAAAGCTGCACACAGCTTTCTCTAAGATTAATCAAACCATTTCACGAAATAACATTTTAATGACATTTCCAACTCAGCCTTTTAAAGCTAACTTTTTTCATCATCTATCTTGGTGGTTGTGTGCTCTGGCATCCTCATTAGAGGGTTCTATGAAGTATTACTCGTAATTTTTGGACATTATATGTAGGGAGCTTTCAGTTTGAAAAACCCTGTTAGGTTTCCCCCCTATAAGGTGACTTGAAGACTTTTATCAGGTTGACCAAACTGGTCTCTTTCTCTCCATAATTACTTACCTTTGCTTTTTAAGAACACATTGTTGCAAGAATTGGAAAATACTCAAAAGCAGATCGAGGAACACCAGCATGACAAGGTAAATGCCACTTCAGGGCATTACGGAAGGAGTGGCAGGCATGTTTCTTAAGTGCATGTTGCTGCCTTGAAATAGCATGTTTCGAAGCTATGAAGTGATTGTGTTGTGATGGTCAAATGTTTTACAGCAATGACTGTTTTAAGTCTTTATTGTGTATTTATTTTGATATCATTTACTACAAGCACTTTATGCTTCACTTTTGGCTCCCAAATCACACTCTTTTTCAGTACACATGACATTTTCACAGATTACTTTCACTCTGTTCTGTCTAGCTGTTAGGACACTACATAGAAAGTACTGTAGAAGATTAAACTGTGAATGACTCCCCCCGAGACACTTAGATATGTATGTCATGGCCAGTATTTGCCAAGTGGTGGTAGTAGTGATTTAACTTTCTCCAATTTTCTGCTGACATAATTCTGGAGAACTCAATATCCCAGATTGCATTATCAACCCTCCTAATGCAATCATGACTGTACAGTGAGGAATGCCAGCCATTAATTAACAGAAAGAAAGAAAGAAAGAGAAAGAAAGAAAGAAAGAAAGAAAGAAAGAAAGAAGGAAGGAAGGAAAGAAAGAAAGAAAGAAAGAAAGAAAGAAAGAAAGAAAGAAAGAAAGAAAAACTAGGAAAAATTCCAGGTGATCATTTTGACACAATGGACACTTTTTGACTTTTTGCTTGTTTTGATTTTCTCTTTGAGATTGTACTCCTATTTGAGATACGTATCCTGAGATTTTAATTTGTGTTTTGGTGCTTGGAGAATATGTTTCTATTTAACTCACTGCCACTTTAAATGCAATTTGCATGTGGATGGTGTGACTGTCACAATCACCAAGTGAATTGTAATACTGCAAAGATCTACTTGCCTATACAGCTGATCTCTAATTTGTCCCTGATGAAGAGTATTAAATTCCAAAGGCTTGGAACATTTCTGGGTTGAAATGTTTTTTCATGCTGTTTGAACCATTTCCCTCCGCATCTAGCAATAAGAGCATCCATTCAGGGATAATTTAGATTGATCATCTAAACTATTTTCCTCTATGCTCCCCCGTAAAAAAACTGAGCTCAGGAGTGTAAATCAATGTAAGGAAGTGGCAGTAATTCTAGATTTCTCACAGAATTATCCTGTTGCTAGCATGATCTTAAACATTCTCCAAATAATACCAGAATACATTTAGCATTCAATTGATATTCACCATGCTTCATCAAACAGTCTGGAACCAGAAAGTGGCAATTTTCTCATCTTCCATCTACCTTTTGGACTCATGTCATTTTCTTTCCTTGTTTTGCTTTCAGCATGATTAATCCTACCTTAACTGGGATTTTGCAGATGTGCTAATTGAATTCAGCTTGATTGGCTATAACTGGCTGTAGAGAAACAATTTCTTGTTTTGTTCTAAACAGAGGAGGCTGTCAGATGAGATTGACAAACTGAGATTAGAAATGGATCAGTTAAAGACAAGAAGTGGATCATTTCTTGATAGTGTACATACAAGGTGAGGACGCTTTCTTTTTCATAGTATCACAAAATGTTCCAAGGATTTCAAAATGTTCACACTTCTCTGAGTTGCTAGCATTGCCAGTTTAAGACCAGGTCATGTGGCAAAACTGAAATGGGTATCTCATGGTGACGTTGAAGAGCTACGATAACTGTTGTAATGCATCACTGGCTAAGATAAATTCATAGAATGGCTTGGTATAATAACAATCTGTAGATCTTATTTATCACTATTAACTAAGTGGGCAGATTATGATTTGAACTGAGTAGAAGCTGTGTGTTGTTTGTTATATGATCAAGCACCACAGTGCTTGATTGAACGTTCATCTTCTTGTATCTCATCTCAGAAAAAATTTACCATTTTTAAAAATTAAAAAGTAACATTTTTGTTGTGGAATTATCAGACAGAACTTTTTCAGCATATGTAAGATGATGTGTTTATCTGTGACAGTTTCTTACAGTCAGGAATATTAGCAGTTGGCCAATGTAATATTAACATTCATTACTTTACTTCCAAACTATCAATAATGATAATCACCTCATTGCAAGAGAGGAAAAGGTGACACTCCTTTCCATATACATGACAATTTGTTTCTGTGACTCCTAGTAATAAGATAAGAAGTCAATTCCTGGATGTTCTACTCTGTTCAGGTGTTATCAGTTGTTGCCATTATCAAATGAAACAAGAAGTTACAAGTAGTATAGGTGCTGCACTTTGAAAGAAGGAAATGCCATCTTCTCCGACCTTCTTGTTTACATAACTCTTGGTTATGGTGCTTTTTAAAATTTGGATCCCTATAGTCTCAAAGCTCGTTGTCTTATATGGAGCTAAGTATCAGGGATTCCCTAGTTATTTATTTCTTTTACTTCCTCCAGTTATTCGTCACAGCTCTTCAGCTTATCAGCGACTATAAATACTCAGGATTTCAGTAATAGATAAGATTTTATGTTTTGTTAGCAGTATTGGCAGTGCATAAAACAGTTCCAGAAACTCCCCACACATGGATGTGCTAGCAAATAAAACATGATTGTACTTTGAACCCAAGAGATGGGTTTGACTGATATCAGCTTTTGCTCCCCCATATTTGTGAGAGGCTTCTTTGTCACTTATAAGAGAGAATGGTGTCCCACCCCCACCCTGCTGATGCCAAGCTCTACGAGGCCAGTTGGTAGGACTGAAAAGTCTCACACTCACTGAAAATTCTCACTCTCAGCTGCCACTTTCTCTTTGATCTTGTTCTCTCCAGATTGAAATGGGTTTCATAAGCTCAGCCACTGTGATGAGAGATGAGTTGCTAGCATGTATGGGAGCCTAAGCAAGGCATGTGACCAGCTAGCCAGATAAACGTTAAAAATCTTATTTGAATATAATAGTGATTTTATTTATTTTGATTAAAATTAAATATGTATGCACGACATTCAATTTACGCTTGCTCTTAAGTAACAAAACCCAGTACCAAATTCACTTGACCCAGTATACCTCTTTTAAACTGTAAGTATCCAATTGTGGGTTATTATTATTATTATTATTATTAACTTTATTTATACCCCGCTAACATCGCCAAGGCCCAACACATCAATAAAACAACAGCATAACAAATACAACAATAAATAAACTCATAAAGAAAAACAATAAACATTAAAACAATAGCAATAAACATTAGACAATAACACCACGATGCATTTAAAACTGAGGCCGGGCCAAATGTAATGAATAAAATTAAAAAAAAATTAAAAAATGCTGGACATGACAGGTAAAATGGATAGGTTTTTGGAGATAGGTGTGGTGTGCAGACAATCTTAAATCTCTAATAAAGTGCATTTGGGACATGATGCTAGGAGTTTCCTATTCTGGGAAGGTTCCATACTACTTTCTAATCAAGGGAACAGTTATTGTATATACCCATGTATAAGTCTAGTCATTTTAGTAAAAAAAAAACATCCCCAAAAATCTGGATCACCTTATTTGTGGACCTATGTAAGTTCTGTTCATTAGCTCTTTATATAAAAAGGAACTATCCAGTTTTGTGACTACAGTATTAAAAGGTGAAAGCTTAGCCCATTATACGGACTTAAAAGAAGCATTACCTTCTCTTCATCGCATCACTTTTGACCTTGATTGCCTGAGTGAAAAAATAACAGCAGCCACGGATAACTGCTCACCCACTTCTCAAGGCAGTGCTGATGCCTTCCCCTTTGCACAGATTTACCCTCAACTTACACTATGTAACAAAATTTGAAAAAAGTTCCTAGTTTGAAAGTTATTTTCTGCTTAATTGTGCAGTGCTTACTTTGAAATTAGTAATTCTACTCCAGAAATTTCAATTTTGTGGCTGCCATGAACTATGTTGAATTGGTTGAGACTCTATCAGGTATTCGTTGAAATACTATAGCAAAATGTGCTGCAGGCTGTCCCATAAAAGCAAAGTTTTGCAGTTTAATAAGCTTTTCCCATGTTTTTATGATAGAACCAATTAGAAAATGCCATTTATAACCCAGGAACAAAAATGGTGTTACATAGTGTATGGTATGTATGGGTCATATCAAAATCCATAATTATGGTCTCAAAATCTTACCTTGATTTACACATGACATATACATGTGTGTATATACTAATTAGCATTCAAGAAGCAACTCTTCAAAGCTTGGATATTCTCATACTTCACTCTGAAGTGCTTGCTTAATTCATATATTGGCCTCAATTCAACAAGAAAAAAATTGGAAATGCAGACTGCATATGTATTTCCCAGGACTAGGAATTGTGAGCAGGAGTACAGCCTTGATTTTTATTCTCTGCAGGAAGCAGTATGTTCCTACTTCCTTAACTGATGTTTGGTGAAACTCCAGACATATCTTAACTTCTCCAATTTAAATTTCATGATTATACTGGCTTCTGGCATTTTTAATTGTGTTATTCTTGTGATCCATGCTGAGTACATTTTGTCACAGAAGGTAAATTTTACCCTACCCACTTTGGACTACTGTTCTCTGGCACCAATTCCAAATACATACTACTGTTTGAATCCTATCCAAAATTCTTTCATGCGTTTTTACTGGTTATGTTTCTTTGCTTACAATCTGTAAATAGAAATTATGCTATTATGCCTTTTTTTGTTTTTCCAACTTACGATTACCTTGAGTGTTGTGGTTTTTCTATAGATTATTAAATGTTATTGTGAGGTGTATTTCAGAAGGTATCTTCTGTACCTATTTTGGAAATTGACAAAAGAAACTAGATATTCAGTCGAAAACTTCACTTTAAAATGCAGCTTCACATTATACTAAATAAGAATAATTTGAGACAATTGACCCTTACCCTTTATTTTTTATAGATCCCTTGTTGGAAGTACCCCAGATCTCAGATATCCCCTCAGTAACATGGTCCATGTAACACCTGAGCCCTTTGGAACACCTTCCAGCCTTCACCGAGCACCAAAAAGCCGATTTGCAGCTCTGCGGGAAGAACCTTCCAAGGTAAAACTCCTGATGTTTGCCTTGCTCCAGCTAATCTCTCATGGGTAGCTCCAGTTACATCTATATCTTGGAATATATCACAAAATCTTTGTGATGGCAACAGCTGCAACAGCTGTCTTGGGCCTTTAAAACAGGGAGCTTTGGCCTTTCACTTGGCAGTAACAGCTGCAGACATAACCCGCTCTGAAGGAAAGAGACTCCCTGTTGTGTAGAAAGGCCACTGGACGATGGCCAGGACAATACGTATATATGGGCTTGTGTAGACGATGATGAGATGAAGTTTCAAAGGATCACTGCCACACTGTGAAATCTGGGCAAGAAGGAAATCTGTTGTAGTCCTTACGTTTTATGACTTGCTTGGGCTGTGGTGTTGATACAGTACTTATTGCAGTGTTGGGTTTAATTATTGTTTTAAACCATGTTGAGATTTAGACTGATAGATTATACGAGTTTTCAATTTTTAGTGGGCTGCTCAAAACAGAAATTGTTTATATACTGTAGCTGTAACCACACTTTGTGGAGAATAAAGATGTGTTGGTTAAGGTATTTGTTGTTAGATGCCTTCAAGTTGACTTTGACACATGATGATCCTAATTTGTTCAAAATTTGTTCAGAGAATTAAATCTTCAAAGACCATTACCTTCCTGCTAGGCTGAAAGAGCACAGTTTTCCCAAGGTAATCCAGTGAGTTTTCATGACTAAGATTTGAATCTTGGCATCTCAAGTACTCAGACCATTACATCACACTGCATTCCTGGATGGAGCATAAGCAGCTTGACATTGCAAAGTTTTATGTCACTGAACTCGAATAATTTTTAGTTCCATCCAATCAAGATACACACAACAGGTGAAATGGAAACACTACTATAATTTTATTTCTTACCAATCTCTCTTTGTGGCTCAAGGTGGGTTACAGCATCATTTAGCCACTTTGAGTCTCCTTATGGAAAGAAAAAGCATGATATAAATAAACATAATAATAAAAATAATAACACATAAACTTTATAAAAATTCTATAAATATACATATTTCTATTTATTTATTTACAACATTTATATGCTGCACTTCTCACCCCGAAGGGGACTCAGAGTGGCTTACAAGATATATATACATACAATATATTATATTATTATCATAGTATAATATCAGTATTATATATACCGTTATATTGTAATATTCTTAGTAATATTACATGTAATATAAAATATGTAATATATTATTAGTAGTATTATATTGTATTAGATTATAATATTAGAAATATTAAATGTCTATACAATATATTATATTACATTATATTATTAGCATAGCACAGGAGACTATGGGAATCTATAAAATATATTAAAATGTATTTCTATAAAATACTTATTAAAATACACAGAACAGAGATTAAACACGAGACAGGAGTTTAATATTCATGCTTAAAACTGGCTGAGTAGGTCTGTCAAAAGACATAGGTCTTTAGATGATTTTAAAATTTCAAAAGTTGATCTAGCTGTGGGAGCTCTTCTGGCAGGTTTTTCTAAAGTCTTGGAGCAACCAATGAAAAAGTCCTCTGGGTGATAGTCACCTAGCTGGTTGGTGTAGTTGCTCCCTAGGGACCTTCATGTGTGAGGTGGATTGTTACCTACAAGTGTTCCTGTAGGTAACCTGGACCCAAACCATGTAGGGCTTTAAAGGTCAAAACCAACACCTTCCGTTTGTTTCAATAATTTGTTTATTTTTGTATGGTTATAGCCTGTTTTTCTTCTGCCATGGAACTCAAGACAGTTGGTTTATCCTTAGTTGCAGATAACCTCTTGTGAAGTTCTTGCATAAGAAATTAATAGAACATTTCCAAACCTAATGCCTTCTGAATATGTTGGACTATAGACACTAATTACAAATACATACTGCTGTCTGAATCCTCAGCTATCCCAAATTCTTTAATGTGTTTTTACAGTTTATGTATCTTTGCATACAATCTGTAAGTAGAAATTCTGCTATTATGCCCTTGTTTTATTGTTTTTCCAACTTACAATTAGCTTTAGTGTTGTGACTTTTCTGTAGATCATTAAATGTTATTGTGATGTGTATTTCGGAATGCGTCTTCTGTTCCTAATTTTGAACATTGAAAAAAGGAACAAGAGATATTCAGTTGAAAACTTCACTTTGAAATGCTTCTTCCATTCATAACCAGCATAGTTTGGTTGCCAGTAATTGAAGTTGTAGACCAGTAATTGCGGAGAGCACATGGTTGGAGATGTCTAATGCAAGATAGGGCATTCTCAGTCTTCGACTCTTTTTCCTAGTCGCAAACTGCCAACTTAATGCAAAAAGTATCAAAAACATCCAGTAACATAAATTGACCCATTCTTTACATTGGACAGCTGTTAATTTTTGGCCATGATGTTAACAAGGACATTAAAACTGTCTGCCTAGGAACAGAAGCCCAACTCACTACAGCCTATGTCTCTGTCTCCAAGGTTTTTGCTGATTACACTAGTAATTACAAGTATTTATATTTCCATAAGTGTCATGGTGGGATAAAGGTATGCCAGCTAAATGTCTATTTGCATTACTGGTGTTGAAGACTGAGACTGGCTAGTTGAGTGAATTTTTCTGTCATTAGGCTGCTTGCACAGTTCTTGTTGCTAATAGAGAGGGAAGATAAGACATCCTTGCATACTTTGTTTGCTGTTATGCATCGAACTAGCAACTCGAGTTCAATAGGATGTTTTTCTAAATTAAACTGAACAGCACAAACACAACATTTCTGTTATCTAGATTGTCCAGGGATTCTATTTTGTGTTTTATAGGCCAGTATTACAAGATAACAGCAAAACAAAGGTGTTTTTCCACAGGACTGCATTAGATCTCTTTCTCCAGCTAATGAGTTGAGTGCAACAGTTTTCCAGTCCAGACTAGGGATGCCAAGTCCCAGCTTGTGACTGGAGCCAATAAGACAAAGAAGGGAGAAAATATACTAACACATGGCTGGCTGATAAGGAAGTATCATCTTCTACACAGACTTACTCTTTGAAAGTTTGTGTTATATACAAGACATTCCTTTCAAAAGCCTGATATTCTTACAAGACTAAAACCACATGGACATGAAATTCAGTTTCAACATAGTCCTAATAGAATTGGTTAGATGAAGGGGACGGATAACCCTTGCTAAATGGAGTTCTCTCAACTTATGACACAGTTGTGAGAAATGGTGTGTGTGTGGAACTGTTAATGCCCTTCTTATATTTTATTTTATTTTTGTTTGTACTCAGGATTGGGAGATTGCCCAGCCAAGTGGGGTCCTAGCCACCACAGCACACACTTTTGACAGTGACCCAGAAATTTCTGATATTGATGAAGATGACCAGGAAACTGTCTTTAGTTCCATTGATATGCTATCACCTAGTGGTCACTCTGATGCCCAGACCCTTGCCATGATGCTTCAGGAACAGCTAGATGCCATCAATGAGGAGATCAGGTATGAAATGTACCATTATTTCATGTGTTAACTCTGTATATTTTACTTGAACTTCTGTGTTCAGCAGACAAAATAATGATTGAACAGAATTAAAAATCCATATAAGTCCCTTAAAAATCAACAAGGTAGCCCTAGACAGGATTGAGAAGTTTGGTGAGGAGATTCAGTCAACAACTTGAACACTGAGATGAATATTGAAGCATTTGGGGGGAGGGGATAATATATTTTTGCAATTTCACATGTATGTCTTATCAGAAAATAGCTCTAACTTTTTGTTCATCTTTACTATCTTCTGGCAATTGTATCTTGGGATGGATCCTTAGGTGGTGAACCAACACTGTACCAAGAATCAATCTATCTTATCTTAGCACGCCCATGTCTTAAAACTGTTGCTGTATTCATTACAGGCAAATTAGTAATTCACCTTTAAACGCCACTGCAAACTCATGTTTGTATGTTTGACTGTGTTTGGTAAGTCCATTGCAACCATTTTGTCACTCAGCTATCCTCAAATGAAGCTTCTTACAAATGAGGAACCTGAGACACTGAAGGCTTGATGATTTTACCAGATCTTTGCCTAAAGTCTATGCTAAGAAATAACAGGAAGCTGTTTAATGTTGTCATGATGTGTAACTTTACTTTTCTATTTTGATGAGAAGTATACCAAAGGGTTGAGTGGCTTAAGGCATAAGAAAGTCCTTCAGTTACACACCACAAGCTATATTCCAGCCCTTGTGTTAAAATTGGTGAATGTGCATGAAATAACTTGCTTACACTTCTAGAGACACATAAATAATGCAGTAGGTCCTTGAGAATCTATCTGGAAAACAGAAGTAGAAAAGTAGGGAGAAATCTAGAAGATGGTTGCCTTCTGAGTGGTGTATCAGAGCATGATTCAAGTTTGTGGGTCAGCGTCATTTGTGTCCATAGTCTTTGAAAGTTTTTATTTGTTCCTGCATAATTTGATTAGTAAATATGAAGGAATCACAAGAGATGTCCATAGACTTAAAAGATGTTAAGTGTGATTAGCTGAATTAAAATATGTTTTCTCTTTTAGAATGATCCAGGAAGAGAAAGAATCAACTGAACTGCGGGCTGAGCAGTTGGAAAGCCGTGTTACTAGCGGTAGCATGGAGGCCCTGAATTTGACACAACTCCGCAAGAGAGCATCCATCCCCACCTCCCTGACTGCCCTGTCCTTGGCTAGCTCATCTCCTCCTATCAGTGGTCGCTCTACTCCCAAGCTCAGTTCTCGCAGTGCTGCACAGGACCTTGATCGAATATGCAGTATGACACTTGTAAGCTGGGAAGGAGGGATGATATATTTGGCCAGAAAGTCATTGCATTCTCTCATACCTTCTCATCCAAGTTGCAATAAAAATTTTACACTGCTAATAAAACTTTTACACTGGTAACGTATGAACTTCTGCTTAATTTTAAGTTAATTTCTGTTCTTTTCTATCTTTATCAGCCAAGTGACCTGAGGAAACATCGGAGAAAACTACTTGTGAGTTCGTTGGTTTCATTCCATTTTTGCTTGTGCTAGTGTTCCATTTCTGTATTTGTTCTCTTTCAAACCCTGCAATAACAATGTTACGCAGTTCTAGTGCACTAGCATAGTGAAGCTGGCTAGAATCTTGAAAGCTTCTGTCTTATCAGAAGTGTAGGAACAAAGATGATAAAATATTTAATTATTGTAGGCAGGAATTCTCTAACATTTCTAAAAGCAATCAAACATTTTTATACGTTTTCCAGGTTGCAACCCAGGGAATTTAATATTTCATTAAATTACAGCAAGATACCGTTTTCACTTATTTGCTTCCTTTTCCCCCTGCCTTCTATAAAGCAATATTTGAATTCCCCTGACAACAGAAAATGGAAAAATTAGTGGGGAAGAATGGGTAGAAGCTAGGAGCCATTAATGGTTCTCTCTAATTGTTAAGGCTAAGGATTATATCAAGTTCTTTTCAAGAGTAAAATCAAGTATAATTACTAGAAGTGACGCCTGTGGCCCTTAAGATGTGTTTCCATTAGTCCTAGACAATATAGGAAGTGTAATAGAATTAGGAAGTTGTAGTACAAAAATATCTGATACAATATTCCCTATACCTCACTTATACTATTTCTAGTCAATACAGAGGCTCTATACTGCCTGACATTTGTGTGGGTTGGTGTGTATCCCCCTTTCTTTCTGTGACCTGCAAACAGTCCTTAGTACTACCGTGGATTAGTTCCAAGCCTCATGTCCTGCAGTTTTCTGTTATGAGATGTGCAGTTAAAAATATATACCCTGATTTTCGGTTTTTTAAAAAGTGGCTCTTCCACACAATTGATTATATTTAATACCAGTGATACCACTATTTATGCAGGATTGAAGCTTAATCTGTAGATGCAAGTAAAGAGAGGATATGTTCTCTTTGCTTTTGCAAAATTAATGTCTGCACACAGATATAGGATATCAAACAAACTAGAATTACTTTTCCCTAAGTTTTGTTTGAGAATTCATACCAGGGTGAAAAAGAAAAGCCCTTGAAGATTGGGGAATGGCAAAGTGCAAGGGAATTTTCAAGGAGAATTAAGGGCTGATTTTTATTACTGTTTTATGAGACAGTTAGAATTTCTTTTCTTCCTATAGTTCTAAAATAGGCAGCCTTGATCTCTGTACAACCTGGCTGTATTTTCTGGGGGCTAGATGGTAAGAATGAGGGTGCATTGTGTGGATATTACTGTGGTCCACTCCCTGAGAAATATGGCTGGGATGAATGCTGCACAGAGACATCCATTATCCACTATGATTTTAAAATATTCTCTGTTATGAACATGAAAAGGGGAGGGAAACCTTTACAATCTCATATGCTTATTCTTCCCTCCCCACAAAAACATTTCTTCAAGTGTAAATGTGTTTCTTTCTGCCCCCGAGAAGCATTAACGTCTCCACTTTGAATATTTTCAAGACATTTTTCAACACTTTTTTGAAAAAAAAATTGATTTCAAATTTCACTCTCCAGAGTTCACAGCATAATTGCAGCCTGGCTGGCTATGGTAGTGTGCCGTATACCCCTGTCATTTCCTGCATGGTTTCACCTGCTTCTTTCCTTTTCTTCCGTTAGTTCCTGCCTGTGGTCTGCTAAGTGTAAATGTGTTTGGACACAACTCCTGTTTCAGCAGTACTGTTCTCTCTCAAGTGTCCATGTCCTATGGCCTTTATGGAAGCATGTTTGCTCCTTGTGTGTGGGTGCTGCTTGCAGTGTCAAGTTCTATTTATTTAAGGAGAATGTGTTAAAGGGGCAACCAAAACAGTTTCTCATAGATTTCCCAATGTTTGCTTAGCCTGACAAAAATGAAGTTGCCACTAACCAGAATTGTAACAATTTTCTAAGACAGAAGTAGTAAGACCAAATTTTATGAAAGAACAAAATCTTAAGCTTCTGTTTGCATTGACTTTTGCATGCATTGTTTTCTAAACCACTCCTTCAACTGCTTTTGCAAAAGAAGGCTTAAGCAAGGCACATAGTCACCATCTGGTCAATGCGTGGATTGCACTGATTGTCAGGAATTTGCTTGACCCAAACCAAGAGAATGGAGAATTTTTAATAGATGGTTTCTACAAAGATGGCCCTTATAACAGTGGGAAGCTACTTTGGAAGTGACAATGCCAGATTAAATTACATGAGATTTCCATCTAAATTATGCCAGTACCTACATGCTTTCAGAGATCTGCACTGTTTGAGCAGTCAGACTCAAAGATAGCTCTGGATATTTGTTGACTTCAAGCTGGAGCACTAGCCTTGAGTTGGCAGAGGCTGTTCTCTTCATTGTTATGTGTTGCTGATGGGTTGCAACATGTCTCTTCCTTCCTGCTGTTATTGGGCTCCATTCCCTCTCATTAGGGCTACATCACTCCAAATGACACTGGTAATTGTCACTCAGTCATCCAGGCCTTTGGATTAGGGCATGCAGTGAGCAGCAGCCTCCATGACACTCTGAATGCATGTGACCCTGTTTCACCTTCTCCTTTAATTGAACTGGCAGGTGAGCTATGCCAATGGTGAGTGTGTGCTAGAGATGGGAGGGAGGTGTTCAAGTAGAGATCTGCACTCTGACTTTACATTATCTGTTCAGTCACCAGCAGGTCGAGATGAAAGTCGAGAAGATAAAACAACCATAAAATGTGAGACTTCTCCTCCTTCTTCACCCAGGACTCTACGTCTAGAGAAGCTTGGACATCCTGCTCTGAGTCAGGAAGAAGGCAAGAGGTATAGGGGTCTGGCAAGAGAGGGAATAATGAGCTTTCCTTTCTGTAAGTAGCCAGATATACTCCATTTCACCAGGGTAATAGGTGGGTCAAATGTTGTAGACTAGTGTTCCTAAAACTTTTCCAATTGAGTTGGGAGCATAGTGCGCAATAATGGGAAGTACAAAACCATGGACACATCATTATCTACAGAAGCATATTGGAGGATGTGCCCAATCCTAATTTAGGCTCACATTTTGAGAATTAGAATATGATGTGGTACTAAATCTGCATTATAACAAATTGTTAGAAACCTGAACAGGTTGTGGATGCCAGTGACTCTTCAGAACTTTTTAGAAGAGAATATGATACTTCATTTGTAGAGTAACTGGTAAGTGAAATTTCTACCAGATGATAAGAGTGCATATATAAATATGTCCACAAAGTGGGCTATAATTGAGTGGGCTGGCAAGTGCTGAAGTATGGCACTTTTATGTTTTTTACTTGCCAGACATGAAGATATGTTTAAGATGAAGCTTTATATTTATTTAATAGCTGCTGATATCTCAAAAGCAGTGATGTTCCCTATGCCAGGGATGAGAAAACTCCTCAGTATTGTGTGTGCTATTCTGATAGATCTGCCTTTTAATTTGAGACAATATTCTACCCATTATAACAGGCATGGGCAAACTTCGGCGCTCCTGGTTTTTTTGGTTTTCAACTCCCATAATTCCTAACAGCTAATCCAAAACACCCAGAGGACCAAAGTTTGTCCATACCTGCATTATAATATGTCAGATGAGGACATATTATATTATATTAATATTACATGTTGCAAAATGTTAGATGAAGATCAAGATCCTTAAACCTTACTAGACAACATGCTACCAATATGGGTAAAAATTGTGTGCCTTCTGCTCCTTAGTGGGTAAGCTAATGAGCAGAGGAAAAGAATTTAATTTCCCACCATGTTGCACTGTTGTAGTGAAATCTAAGTATTCCTATATGTTGTTATGAAGCTGTCTTCCTCCTTAGCTAAGCTGCTGATGCCAGCTGAGAGAAGGGAATTGTGGCATTAAGTGTACAGTGGAATGGATACACTCATTTTGCATTTAGCCCATACTCACTGCTCACATGCAGTAGAAACATTTTTTGTTTACCATACATTTTCTCTTCCCTCTGTTATGAAAGGAGTATTTTCTCCTTTCATAATGACAACATGGGAAGACAAATAAACTGCTTAAAGGTGGAAATTTCTTTCTGGATTCTAATAATTCCTTACGTGTGAGAATAATTAATCTCTTTAATTTACACTGAAACAGAACTCCGTTTTCCCCTCACTTTCTTTTCACCAGTGGTTTATCACAAAGTTGGCAATGCCTCCTGTTCTTCCTGCCAAACAGGATACCAATGGATATTCCACTATGAAAATTACTTGGAAAATTTTGGTAAAAGGATTATACTGGAGGAGGGGAATGGCACCTTAATTTATTTTTAGATGATATTGTGAACCTCTTGCTTTTTCTTGCTTTTTCAGTAGTTCTTTGGAGGACCAAGCAAGTAACCCCAGCAGTAGTAATAGCAGCCAGGACTCTCTGCACAAAGGCTCCAAGAGGAAAGGCATAAAATCTTCTATTGGACGCTTATTTGGAAAAAAAGAGAAAGGCCGCTTGATCCAGCTGAGTAGAGATGGTGCGACTGGGCAAGGTTTCTGATGCTTTTGGCTTCCTCTGAAGCAGTGTGTTGGAGTCTCAAGCCATGGGGCCAACAACCAATGTGGATGTTAGGCTGAAAGACATTATCTATCTTTCCTGTGAAAGTCAAATTCTGACCTTCCAGATGTTGCTAGGCTGCAGCTTCTAGCAAATCTGGCAACTGGCCCATGGGAACTGCAGTCCTACAATTTCTGGAAGGTCTCTGGTTGTTCCTTGCTCTAGAAGAAAGTCATCATTCCATGAGTTTTTTGAGGTTTTTTGGGGCTGTTTATAAATGACATAGAAGAAAAGGAGAAGGAAGGAAATACAGGTTTTTAAATTAGTCTGTTTGGTGAATGGAGATGGGAAGTAGGTTATTGCAGAATCGTAACAGAGGTCCATAAATGGCACTAAAACCAAACAGTGCAATCCAAAAGAATTTAGGCCATTTAAATAACATGCAAATCATCCAGATTTTTTTAACCCACATGAATTTCCTTTAAGAAATTGAGATGAGAAGATGGGAAGAGCAGTGCATGATAGAAAGGCTGGTGATCAGTGGAAACAGACTGAGATGTAGCGAACAACATAGCTGAAGGCACAGAGGTAGAAACACATGAACTAATGAAAGGATGAATTTGATGAACATGCTGATTCATTCGGATTCTTAGTCTTAAATTGAAGTGTCAGAAATAGAAAAAGTAGGTCACTTTTTCCTATGCTGACTCTAGAAAGAGGTGTATGAACATCTAACAGATGTCTGATGGATTTATTGTTACAATCTACCTTCTTATGGGCCTAAAATATACTGGAATCAGATACTGTGTTATTGAGCAAGGCAAGAGCATGCAAACTTTGAAAAGTGTGAAGAAGGCAGTTGTTGCAGAATCTAAGAGAGGGTGTTTATTTGTTTAATTAATTAATTAATTAATTAATTATTGCAGTACTTCCTGTATATTCTTTGTACACGATGGTCATTTGAGAATTAGTGAGATGAGTCAGATAGGTTGTGAATGGTGATAGTGATGCTGAAGAAATGTAGTAGGGTAATATGTCAGGATTCTTAACCATAGTAATAGAATGGGGTCAAAAAAACCATTGGAAGACCCAGAAGCAGGACAAAATGTTTCTGGGGGAAAAAAGAGCAGATATGAGTATAAACAAACTATATGAAGAGATACTGAGGAAAAAACCCAAATGCCATCATGTGGAACGATGGCTGTTAAAGGTCCATGAAAAGGTTGTGAATTGTATAAGATATTGATAATTGCATTTATTTTTTCCTGCTTTTCATTTGATATAGGATGTAAAGAGTCTCACAAATTTAAACAAATATACTGTAGATTTTGCTTTTATACACAGTAACATGTACGAGGATATATACATTCACATAAGGATCAGGGTGAATGCAGACAATGTTGAGACATACCGTGCTAAGAATTGTATGGAGGAGGATACAATGTTTGAAAATCTGGTTAGAAAGTTCAGATAAGTTTTAGATTTTTAAAAAAAATATGGGTATAGCTTTTGTGGGTCACTAGGGAGCTCTGCTCTAATTATTTCCTATGTTTCCCAGTTATGCTAACAGATTCGGAGATCAACATACAGGACTCTCTTGGTCTTGGCAAATTAGGAGCCCAAGCAGAGAAAGATCGCCGGCTCAAAAAAAAGTGAGTGTGCCTTTTCAAAGCATTCATTGTAAATATATAGAGTGAGCTCTTGGTATCCATTCAAGTTTGATTTCTGGACCATGCGTGGATACCAACATCCGGGGATGCTCACGTCCCATTATATATGTTGGAGTAGTAAAATAATGCTCCTGGTATAAAATGGGAAAATCAAGGTTAGCTTTTTGAAATGTCCTCAAGCTGTAGATTGTTGAATCCATGGATACAGAATCTGTGGATATGGAGGACTGACTGTATTTGTATTTATGTGTTTATTTTATTTCACTGCACTGGCCACAAAATCTTGGCAGGTTTGAGGTAGAGGATTCTGGGAAGTATTCTATTTAAAATCCTCATATCATATGTGGCATCAGAAAGCTTTAGCAGCTGATAAGACTCCAGCTGCCTATTGTGGGATCTCAAATTGGAATTCCTCTTCTTGCCAAGGAATCTTTATGTTTCTGATGAGCTAGGGATCATTACTGCTGTATAGAGATACCACCTGAAGATTACTTAGAATATAATATTTGGAAGTCTACAAAGAGAAATTTTCTGAGTTTCACATACTTTTTCAGTAATGCCATCTCTCTATAGTAATAGAATTTCTTATCAGTAGGTCAGGTATCATTTAACACTACAGCTAACTAAGGTATGCTTCTTCCAGAATAATTCTGAGGGACCTGTCAGGTAATACAAAACAGTGAATGTTTCTTCTTCAGTAGTGTACTTGCACTAGGCTAAGAACTAGACATCCCAGTACAATATCTGACACCCAGAGGCTTCCTTTAGTGTAGGTGCTGATATCAAGGACTCTTTGATTCTGTGATCCCCTGCCTCCTTCACCCCCATTGTGCTCCTCAGCCAACTTCTCCAAAACTTGAGACATAAACAAAGGGCTCTTTAACTCCTGCCTGCCCATTCTTGAAGCAATGAACATTGGTTTCTTGCAGCTTCCTGCTCACTCCTGTCTTCGAAACCAACATGCATATGGTCTTCCCAAATCAAGTGTCTAAACTAATATCGCTGTTGGTAATCATTTTGGAGCATCTCAGATTATGGGTGGCACCATTGTTGCTAGCTGTCACAGTCTTGCTACATTTACAATATGGTTCTTATTAAAAAATAGTTGCTCAGCACAGCATTACATCCAGAATGGTGCCTATAGCTCAATATCTTTTGTTTGTATTGTAGATGTGAACTAGCCTGCTACAACAGCTTTTTAAATAGAGCTTTTTTTTCTTTTTAAAACATGGTAAATAGTATTGAATGAGTACTGAAGTACTAACTGTAAACTTGTGGAATACATTGCTCACAAAGAAATAGTTGTCTTATCAGTTTTTACTTATCCTTCTAGACATGAGCTTTTGGAAGATGCTCGAAGAAGGGGCATTCCCTTTGCTCAATGGGATGGTCCAACAGTAGTCTCTTGGCTGGAGGTAAGCCTGTTTCAGAATTACTTAAATTTACTGGTATCTAATAGGGCCAATTACACACACTTTATTGAAGATGGGGCAGTTTCACTACATTAGGTGTGTATCTGTGCTATTTTGTGCCCAAGAAAAATCTTTATCCAACAAATAAGCAAAGCAGAGATCAACTTCTGGTTTACTACCTTCTTAAATTATTGGTAAGCATACTCTAGAGAACTGTGAACTTCCATTTTGGTCTTAGGGGTCACTTTCTACTGTATAATCTGCCCTGTACACTCATGATCCCTGACCATCCGGTGACTCACTGAGAAGCATTTCCTTGATTCTTTCCGGACAAAGTTCCTCTAATCTATTTTGACTTGGACACCATGTTAATGGCAGTCTTTGAAGATGTAATAGGAGCACCTGTCCGGTTTTGATGGATGCATTTTAGTTGGGCCACCTGAGGATGTCAGCAAGATCCTTGGAGAGGCGAGGGCAACCACATGCATCCTGGACCCCTGCCCATCCTGGCTGGTAAAGGAGGCCAGAACGGGTTTGGCAGAGTGGGTGAAGGTGGTGGTTAATGCCTCCTTACAAGAAGGCAAGATTCCAGCGGGCCTAAAGGAGGCCATAATAAAACTGCAGGATCCCACTCAATTGAACAATTTTTGGCAAGTCTCCCTTTTGGGCAAAATCTCTCCCTTTTAGGCAAAGTCCTGGAATGTATGGTGACCTCGCAACTCCAGGGGTTCTTGGAGGAAACTGATTATCTGGATCTGGGGTAGTCTGGCTTCAGGATGGGACTTGGAACTGAAACAGCCTTGATCGTCTTAGTGAATGATCTATGCAGGGGACTGGGGGAGTGTGTTCCTATTGATTCTCTTGGACCTCTCAGCGGCCTTTGATACCATAAACCATGGTATCCTTCTGGGATGCCTCACGGGAACGGGGCTTGGAGGTACTGTCCTGCACTGACTCCAGTCCTTCCTGGAGGGTCGCTCTCAGAAGGTGTTGCTGGAGGACACCTGATTGTTTTGTGAGGTCCCGCAGGGCTTGGGATTGTCCCTATGTTGTTTAACATCTACATGAAGCCATTGGGAAAGATCATCCAGAGTTTTGGAGTTCAATGCCATCTGTAGGCAGGTAGCCAAGGCAAGCTCTATAGCTGCAAATAAATCTTGACCAATAGTCGCACCCCCTTTTTTCCTGAGAAAAGGGAGAGAAAGTGCAACTATTATGTGATGAAATACAATGGTTTATTTTCAACACTTCTCTTGCTTTGGATTAGTGAAGACAGCTGCAAATAAAAAGATATGCTTTTTCTTATATTATAGCTTTTGTCTCTCCTATTGAGACTATAGCTAACATGAGCTCTGTCATGTGAAAGCATGAGTGATTGAAGATGCAAACATATATTCATTTATGGCCTCTTACATTGTAGCTTTGGGTGGGCATGCCTGCCTGGTATGTCGCAGCATGCAGAGCCAATGTGAAGAGTGGTGCTATAATGTCTGCCTTGTCGGATACAGAGATACAGAGAGAGATTGGTATTAGCAATGCACTTCACCGATTGAAGCTGCGTCTTGCAATTCAGGAAATGGTGTCACTTACAAGCCCATCAGCTCCACCCACCTCGAGGACAGTAAGTACTTCATATGATTACCAAGATAGTGTTTCCATCTTTATTTAATGCTAAAAGGTTGCTATTCCCAATTGATACCAATGGTGATCAGCTGAACCCAAAGCCAGAAAGATTTGCTGAAACCCAAAATTGCAGATTTTTAGCTAGAACGCAGAATTCTGTTCAGCACTTTGATTTCCAAGAGAGATATTGACAAGCTGGAATGTGTCCCAGAGGAGGGCGACTAAAATGATCAAGGGTCTGGAGAACAAGCCCTATGAGGAGCGGCTTAAGGAGCTGGGCATGTTTAGCCTGAAGAAGAGAAGGCTGAGAGGAGATATAATAGCCATGTATAAATATGTGAGAGGAAGCCACAGGGAGGAGGGAGCAAGCTTGTTTTCTGCTTCCTTGGAGACTAGGACGTGGAACAATGGCTTCAAACTACAAGAAAGGAGATTCCATCCACATTATGAAGAACTTCCTGGCTGTGAGAGCTGTTCAGCAGTGGAACTCTCTGCCCGGAGTGTGGTGGAGGCTCCTTCTTTGGAAGCTTTTAAACAGAGGCTGGATGGCCATCTGTCAGGGGTGATTTGAATGCAATATTCCTGCTTCTTGGCAGGGGGTTGGACTGGATGGCCCATGAGGTCTCTTCCAACTCTTTGATTCTATGATTCTATGTATCTCTTGAGAGAGCATGAAAAGAAGCCCAAAATGGTTTCAAATAAATTTAACATTTGCACCATCATTATGAGACAGAGTTTTTACTTGATTTATTCTATCTAACACTGTTCTTGTGATCAGTGGGAGTTATCTGTACCAAGGGGGGGGGGGGTTGGCTATCTTTGGGAAATGCTTGGTTCTTCCACCAGTTCAGTTCTGACTTTCTTCTAGGTTCTTTGTTAGTTGTCAGAGAGGTGTCAGCAGGCAAAAGCAGATATACACATATTTTTCCTCCATTTCCTAGAGGAGTATAATAGAATAAAGACTTATGTGGCAATAAATCCCAACCTCTGTATACCAAATATAAAAGGTAGGGGATTATTTATTGTAAATCCCAACAACACTGTGCCACCCTTTGTAAGGGAATATGACTTCTTTAATTAGAAATCAAAAGATGAATAAAGCTGGAACAATCTTCTGGTCAATAAACCTATTGAAAGATCATTGGCTACCACCACCCTTGAAGTAATGTTAAGCCCTTGGCTTACTTGAGGTATCTTTAGGCTAGAATGGGCTGGATTCACACTCGGGCTTTGTGCTCTGTGGAAACAATAAAGAGATTACTTTATTCAAATATACGCTGCCACCATTTAACCTTTGATTTCTTCAGTAAACTGCTTGGAAGCTTCTCACACAGAGGCACACGTGAGGCAGATGTTATGAACAAATAACAATAATGTTTATTTGAGAGAACTTGAACAAAACAGGCATTAAGCTTAGCTGTTTTGAAATATTGACATAAAAGCGTATGGTTTCTTCAAGCAGTTCAAAACTTAGTTACACATAACACTCCTCTCCCTCCAGAAGTTACTGACAGCATTCCTCTCTGCTCAGTAATCCTAAACTCCCCCACACAGACAGTCCCTTTCCTTTTGGATCTGTCTCATCACTCCTTCACCAGCTACCCTTCCCAATAGCTGTAAATCTTCTCACCAGCTAACTCTGCTGGCTAACTGACCAACTTCAGGCTTCCCTAACTCTTCTCTTCTTCACACCAAACTCTAATCTTCCTTCTTCTCTGACACCCAGACCCAATCTCCTTCTTCTCTGACACCCAGACCCAATCTGAGCTGTCAGATTTTAAAACGTCCCCTTAAAAACATTTTATCTTTTCTCAAGTTAAGCTCCGCCCACTCTCTCCCAGCCAATGACAAACCCCTCATTTCCCTCCAAGCTGCTCTTAAGCATGCCCCCTTCAGGAAATGAGATTCTAAGATGGATGCCCCCAGGCACCCTTCCAAAATTGCTGCTGAATTTCCTGGGCCTACTTTTCTGGGCTTTTCCTAGCCTAACAGGTAGGGAATTCATCTCAAGGAGCAAGGCCACAATGTGAGACAAGTGGACTAAAATGTTGGACCGATTGAAAGTTGAGCATGAAGAAATAAACTACAGTTATAAAGCTCTTAATATGATAAATTGCTAAAAGAACTTCTAATCAGTTCCATTCATATTGCTTTGGAAGAGAAGTTTGCTTTATTTCACACACTGTATTTATTTATTTATTTATTTATTTGGGGTGCTTCTACCCCGCCCTTCTCAACCCCCTAGGGGGGACTCAGGGCGGCTTAGAAAAGGCACAGTTCGATGCCCAACAATTCACAAAATACAATACACAAATTTACCATATAATGTCAACTGTAGGTTTTTTTTACCTTTAGAAACTTTTTATGTCGGGAACTTAGGACATTGCTCTTTAATAATATAAATTGTGAATGACCTTTCATGACGTGGTGTCATTGGTACAACACAGAAAACTGTGTCTGGATGGGTGGTTGAAATGTTTACTGATAATTCCTTCTTCTTCTTTCCATCTGATTCATATTCCCTGCTTCCCATGCCCACTCTTGACCAGTCATCTGGAAATGTCTGGGTGACACACGAAGAAATGGAAACAATGGCAACCTCAACCAAAACGGCAAGTATTTTCTTTGTATTATTTTCACTTTCATAACTTGTATTTCAAGCCTTTACCAGCACAACCTCATAAAAATTTACAGGGGAAATCATTATGCATCTATTCAAACTAGAATCCCTTTTTACCTAAAATATCTGCAACATATGTTTTGTAACATGAGGCTGGCTCAATTTTAATTATTTGGTATTAGTACTGTCAATTGAAAAACTGTTAGTGTTGTCGAAGGCTTTCATGGCTGGAATCACTAGGTTCTTGTGGGTTTTTTCGAGCTATATGGCCATGTTCTAGAGGCATTTTTCCTGACGTTTCGCCTGCATCTATGGCAAGCATCCTCAGAGGTAGTGAGGTCTTTTGGAAAACCCACAAGAACCTACTGTTAGTGTTGTTCAGGAGCCACAATAATAGTTAATTAAAGCCTTCTTTGGAATATCATGAAAAAGGCAAAGATACTAATTATTGAAATAATAAACAAATGTGACCTTTTCCTATAAGGTGAAAATAAGCACCCTGTGTCCATGCTAACTGTCTTGTTCTAGTGAAGACTTTGTTATTCTGTGTCTGAATACTGGGTGGCTTGTGGCTGTGAAGTTTGCCCATCCAATATTTGGCTTGATTTTTTTTAGACTAGTGCAAGGAATTTGGTAGATTTGTTCTTTTTAAGTAGAAGTTAGTACCTTGTATGGCAAGTTCCCTAGTCCAGCAGGTATAAAAGTAAGAAATATTCACCTGTTAGATTATGGCAATTTGCTATTCATTGACTATTCATTTAATTGTGTTATAGAGATCTTCCTTGTGAGACTAGCCTTATTATTTTGTCTGATTACATGCAAGGTCTTTGCTTTTGTCAGATTATCATCCCCTGTAATTGACTTTGCCTGTTATTTTGTTGACATGCTGCATTGTTACATATAGGACACTGAGGAGGGCAGTTGGGCACAGGTGAGACTTCTGCATTATATTGTGTTTTGTTTATCATATTTAGGAACACAAAACTATGAGAACTGGTTGAGCTTGGCAAATTGAGTTGAGCCTGTGGCATTCAGATCACCTGAATTTTTCGAACACTTGAAGAAATTCCTGAATCTATATCACTGGGTGATCCTTGAAAACAGATGCAGAATGCTCTTAAGCTGTCTTGCACTTCCTTTCTGGGTAATAATACCTGTTATAGTTTCCAAGTGCAAAAATGATCACAATATAGGAACTAATTTCTTTTAAGGGGGAAAAAACCCTCTAGGTCTTACACAACCACATTATTCTATTAGCACTACAGTATTTCAAAACATAGACAACTACTTCTGTTTCTTTTCATAATTTTAACAGACATTGTTCTCAGCTCTTCCCAATCTCCCTTTGTTCCTCTGTGTTGGGAACAAATGCCTGTAGCCTTAATCTTTAATTTTCTTTTTCAGATGGTAACATTGTTTGTCCAGTAAGACGATCTGAAGTCCAGTCTGTGTGACTAGAGATCACTGTTTCTTTGGCTTTCACATGTTGATTCTCTTCTACTGGAAATAGGAAAGCCAATAGAAGATTGTTTACTTTAATATCTATGCTTTTTAATATAGGACAAAACCTTCAGACATTGATACTTGATAGGCTGTTATTGCCAAATGTGCAGGAATCACTGTACAGTGGTTTGCTGCATTACTTCTTATAAAACTGAAAATGTGCCTTAGGCTGATATATGCTCTCTATTCTCAGGATGGCACATGCCAGCTGGAGTGCAGGAGCCCACATTCTTTTTTTTATTTTGTCTGTTGGGGCCCTTTGCCTTCTATGATGGTTTCCTGGTAGCCAGCAAGACATGTGTACATCTTCTCTTGTAATTAAAATGTTTGAAGAATACAATAACTTACACGATGGTGATGTTCAGTCCAGGCAAGCAGCCAATGTTCCATTCACTGCCACTGTGAGAATCAGCACCTGTAATCACTTAGGGCCTAGATGCACATGTTACATAGTTGTCACATCTGAAATGAGCCAATTTTGTAGACTTTATAGAATGTCACATAACATTTGACGGGAACAGCTTTGCAATCACCAGTTCTATGTCAAAGTGTATATTTGAAAAAAAAAATCAAATCTGATGATAGTTGGTTTCAGTTGAACAAGCCCAGAGAAAATGACAATCAAATTGTTTTCTTAGTGTACTGCCTGTTTTAACACTTGTAACATGATTATTGCACATAGTAATATAGATAATGAATAGGAATAGTATTTTTTTCCAAATCCAAGACATAAGGCTACTGTAGATTGGCTAAATTTAATTTCTGACTTCAATTTCTGAGGTATCCAGTTAATATTCTGTCAGTGTTTCTGACTGTTATGTGTTTGTTTTAATTTTTTTAACTTTTGCAGACACTGGCTTATGGGGATATGAACCATGAGTGGATAGGGAATGAATGGCTTCCTAGCCTAGGTCTCCCTCAGTATCGCAGCTATTTCATGGAGTGTCTTGTAGATGCACGGATGTTGGATCACCTGACTAAGAAAGACCTTCGGGTGCACCTGAAAATGGTGGACAGTTTCCATCGGTAAGGATTTTTTAAAGGACATATGTCTCATCTAACTGAATCAGGAAAACAGATCATTTGCTTCGTTTGCCTGTTTTTATATATATATATATTCTCTCCAGTCTGAATTGATATCACTTACATTATTTTAATCGATCTCACAGGCATGATTTAGAGCCTGCTAGAAGTGAGTTAATTGTACTGTTTCTAGAAGTATAACTAATTCAAGATTAACTGTTTCTAGAGTACAACTAATTCAAGATTAATGAGATTAATTGAATCAGTAGCATGTTTTTTTCCGCAGACTAAAAATCAACAACATTGTGGAAGTGAAGGTGCTTTGAAAATCAGTTGATATCGAAGACTTTTTCCTCTCAGCATTATTGAAGGACAGAACAACACAGTGATTTAAGATTGTTACACTACATTGCTCAAGTCATGTTTCAAATTGAACATGACTCTTTAATATGAAATGCCTTGGAATAAGTGTTGCATCATATTGTTGCAGAACAAGCCTGCAGTATGGTATTATGTGCTTGAAGAGGCTGAACTATGATAGAAAGGAGCTGGAGAGGAGGCGGGAAGAAAGCCAGCATGAAATCAAAGGTAAATAACAGTAACGCTCATTGCACATTGCAAAACGATCATGTCATAAAACTTAACTATTCATGCCACTTCTTGAAATGGATTCAATACTGTTTACAAAGTCAACATTTGTAGTTGCAGGGATAGAATATTGAATACTACCTCTGAGGATGCTTGCCATAGATGCAGGCGAAACGTCAGGAGAAATGCCTCTAGAACATGGCTCTATAGCCCGAAAAAACCCACAAGAACCTAGTGATTCCAGCCATGAAAGCCTTCGACAATATCTAATTGTTCTTCCTCAAAATACTTCCTCCAAGTCTCCTTTGTATCTGAAGCTAGGCAACTGTGACCCAGTAACTGGCACTGTATATTGAATAGTGTTCCTAACAAAGTTTGCTTTGCACAAATTATGATTTATCTTCTGTGCCAGGTGAAAGTTGTTGGCTTGTTTTGATTACTCCCCTTCTCTGTTCTGTTCTCTGGTATGTTTTCCCCTGGATTATCTTCAGGTAGTGCTAAAGACTTACATTGGCCATCCAGAGTTCAGTCTATGGTACTAAAGAAATGAGTGTAGAGGTTGAGCAGTCAGATTTATTTTCTCAGGAATATGTTTATGAAAACCACATGAGCTGTTAATTTACATGGTGTGTGGACTGATATTCCTTATCCATGCTGATTATATTACAAATGTCAATGTATATATATATAATACGTTTTCTTATTTTCATATTAGGCAATTTATCAAAGCTTAATCGTTCTCAGTGGTACATGTATTTGCCCTGAATGTATGATTTCACTGTCTTCTAGATGTGTTAGTATGGACCAATGATCAAGTAATTCACTGGATTCAGTCCATTGGGCTTAGAGAGTATGCCAACAACATTATTGAGAGTGGGGTCCATGGAGCGCTTATAGCTTTGGATGAAAATTTTGATTATAATAGTCTGGCTCTTGTGTTACAAATACCAACTCAAAACACTCAGGTAGGAAGAAATATTTGTGCAGATGTTTTTCAAATGAAGGTTGTATATTTTTGTCTAAATATTTAATTTAAACCATTGTGCTTTTTAAAAATGAGACGGTTCCTATACATTTGTTTTATAATATTCAATTCCTACTATACAAATCATCTGCTTTCCATTAATTTAGCCCCAACCTTTACCACTCAGGTAATTCCTTAATTTTACCTAGGGGTCTCACTCCCTTTTCCACCCCCTCAAAAACACTCTGATTATTTTCCTTAGTTCACAGTTGGGCAGACTATGTCATATCTGTCTTCCTTCCTTCCTTCCTTCCTTCCTTCCTTCCTTCCTTCCTTCCTTCCTTCCTTCCTTCCTTCCTTCCTGTCACACAGCTTATCTCAGTTGCACAAGCAGAGGCATTAATATTTTCTCTGTTCTCCAGGCTCTGTACCTTTCAGTAAAAAGAGGTAGGAGAATAAGGCACTGAAGCATTATAAATGGGCAGCAGTCCAAACAGCAGCCACTTTCACATCTGCCAGAGTCACTGTGTATTATCTGTATGATTCACCAATCTTTTCTTCAAAAATCTATGTTTACAAAGCAACAGGCTGAGCAGCAAGTTTTCCAACTGGCAGTATGTTTGAGGGCCACCTTTTTATTTACATTTTGATTTTTAAAATTCTTTTTATTCATTAAACAAATTACATAACAGTATCACAGAATTTTAAAATAAATCATCTCCTTGTGAGTATCTTAGTCTTTTTGTCAACCTCCCCCTCCAATAGTTCAGTGCATAATTTTATCTAACTATCAATGGCTAGCCAGTGGAACTTACTTCCTAATAAATAGGTACTTTCAACCTTCCTTATCTGGCTTCAGGATCGCATGTATAGTGTTTTCCTTTCCAAATTCTTCCTTCCTTTTGTCGAAAAGTTCAGACCTGTTTGACTGGTGAGATTCAAACTACCACAAAGAAATTAGCATAAAGTCAGACAAGGTATATTTTTTGCATTTGCAGTATCAACAATTAGACTACCTCTGGAAGGAGAGAGAGACGAAGTAACATCTTTTTCCCCTGCCAACCGTGCACAGACGTGGGTGGTGGTGGCAACATCATTGCCGCTGCTTTGCTTTCCCAGCATCCGTTTTTCTTGGGCCTTCTTAGTACTGCCTTTGTGGGGGGAAATGAAGAAATGATATAGATTGAACATGTCACCACACCTTGGAACCTGCTAAGAATGCAAAGCATATTGGAAACAAAAGTTTTGCCTCTTTTTCTCGGATTTCTCATTCTTTTCTATTCCTCCAATTATGATAGAAAATGGCAATTCTTCTTTCCTTGCCTGTTCAACTCTTACCAGTGAAACAAGTCATAACTTTTTTTTAAATTACTGAATGATCTCTGTAGTGTTTCATTTTGTTTCTGGAAGACTACCATTTAAGCATGAAATTAAATGGCCCTCTCCTGTTTACTCACTAAAAACTCAGCCACAAATACAATTAATTGTTATTTGTTCAATTATGCTTAAAATTGACTTTCACCATGTCTTATTACATTGAAAGTCCAGATGCAGTGTCGTTTGTAAATAAATATGAGATATGTCACATGGAACTGCAACAGTTTTCAGTGAAGAACTTATGATTTACTCTTACTAGTAGTTTGGTGACGTTGCTAGTCTTGTGGTGGCATCAGGTTTTTTAATAGATTACTGGTTTTGGCTTATCTAATATTATTTCCAGGCACGACAGGTGATGGAGAGAGAATTCAACAACCTACTTGCCTTGGGCACTGACAGGAGGCTTGATGATGTGAGTACAAAGTACTATCCTCTGACTAAATCGTGCTGGGAATTTGACAAATATTGGGCTCATTCAATCAGCTAAGAAACCGATGAAACAAACTGAATATTGGAAATAGGACTGGGCGTGCATTTCTCTTCTTTGAAGGAACAGCATCTTGCCTATTTTCCGAGTAGGAAAAGTGGGAATGGATATGCTAAGCAAGGGGGATTCCGTGTTGCAAACAAGCATGGTTCCTCTATTACAAAACTGTGTGGTGAGGAAGATATTTACAAGAGAAGTCATCTCTACATTTCTTGTGAAAGGAAGAATTGTTTGCTTTTCTTTTTTAAGCTGCAAAAGAATTCTTCTTTATGTCATAAATGAGGGATTAACTCCAGCCAGCCTATTTTTTCTTTTAGGAAATATTAAATAAATAAAACATCCCTGCGTGGATGTCCCTGTGTTAGTTTTCGTTTTCACCTATTTCAGTAAAAGGGATTAAAATCTCAGCAGACATATGATTTTGCATACATTTAATCTACTACTCCAAATGGTACAAAATCTGAGTCTGTGGACTATGGAGTTTACTCCGTAAGAAGTAGTAGCTCTGGACCAATCTCTGAAGACCAGTGATGTTGGAGACACTTCTGACTTCAGCTGGGACCTCATAGTCTTCCTTTGTCATTTCTTCTGTGAATATAATCCCATGAGATGTGGAGCTCCTGTCAAGAATGCAATAAAGTGTCCTACTATTGTAACAGAAGCAAGTTTTCATGCTAATCTGTGGAGTAAAACAGTTTGTATACTTTGTGAATCAATGCCACAATACTTGATGTACCAAAGTTTTTTGTATTAGTTAGTCAATAAATATAATCACTGGACTGGACATATATTGAAGGATTTCTTTAATCTGTAAACACCTTGCTACAGATGCCAAATCTATCTGAGTGGAAAAAAGTCATGTCAACACAGTTCTTGAGAAGCGTAATGGAAAGATGAATGTGAGGAGGTAGCCTTCTGGACTATTTAGAAGAATATTCAGCTCAAGAATCCAAATGTCAAACTATATATGACAGTAGCTCAGCCCAACACAGACAATGCAGAATTATTTTGTGTCTGTAATCTTGGGGAAAATCAATGGATTGAGCAAAAAGCATTGCTGAATGGGATCCATATTTTAGAGTAATTTTAAAATTCCCTTTCATTGCATTACTGAAACCAAAAGAGCATAAAAGCAAGCAGCTGTTCTGCTTTTTGTATGTGAAGTTATCCTGCCACTATAATGACCCATGGGGCGAAAACACTGTAAGATGTACTTAAGGGCAGATAACTGCAAAAGGTATGGGTATAGCCTCCTGACAGGCTACATTATTGTGACTAGAAGTACTAGAATGACACTTCCAGTTTCATAATCCATCTTAAAATGGCTTATTTTCAGTAATTAACCGGGAGGTTGTAGAGCAGAAAGTAATGGGGTTCAAGGAGGACTAAATCATAATGTGTTTAATGCCATTTGAATAGTTTGAGTAAGATATAGGACATAATTTTTAAAAAATCATTTTTGTTTAGAAGATGGGGATTTGGGGAAACTTCTGAGAAGCTTTAGGTACACAAAATGTCATTCTGAGAGGTATACTCTCTCCGCCCTGGTCCACCAAGTATCAGACAAGCAGCTGTGAATAAATGTCTGTGGAAATGCTAGAGACCTAATAATATTTCATATATGGCACATTTTCCAACATAGGTTTGTGGGAAGTGGGAATGACAGATGTGCATGAAAATATCTATTTTTGTCAGTTACACATATTTGGGGATCTTCTGCCCATTGGCTTCTAAACACATAGATCCCAGTGGTAAAAACACTAATAAAATGGATTTCTCTTTATAAAACCCAACCTCTTGTTATCTTAACTCAGTGGCTCTCAACCTGGGTTCCCCAGATGTTTTTGGCCTTCAACTCCCAGAAATCCTAACGGCTGGTAAACTGGCTGGGATTTCTAGGAGTTGTAGGCCAAAAACATCTGGGGACTCCAGGTTGAGAACCACTCACTGTCTTAACTGGACTGCTTCAGTCAGGTTTATGGTAGAGTGGACTACTTGTGTTTTCTTACACCAAGTTAAAAAAGTAATATATGAAACAAGCTGGAGGGAGCAGACCATCTGTAGGGGACAGAAAAAGAAGCTGTATGTTCACTTTTTCATTAAATAGTGAGGTTTCTATCAGCTTAATGCAATGGATTCTGTGACATCAGACCTTTTGAGATATACAGGTAAGTACAGTGGCTTCATGGAATTTACAGTATTGGTAGATATCCTTACAAATAATATAGAGAAACTTATAGTCTTCTCTTTAGGAATGGAAGTTGATATTCTGACTGGTCGTCACAGAGTGAACAATGGTACCATTAGCACAAAAAAGAATACATATAAAGATGTTTCAATTTCAGCCTGCTTTCCCATCACCAGTTTTATTTTCTTTTTGGTTCCAGGTTTTAAACATAGTTATTTTTCTTAGAATATTCTACAGAAATATGTTGTCTTTTTTGTGAACACTCTAAAAGCATTGTTGAAAGGTTAATATATGCATTTTAGAATAAATAAGGAAGCCTAAGTGTGACCAATATGAATTAAAAACTTAGTCCACTATATTGCAGTTAATTTTAATGTTACTGCAATGGGTGAAATATTCTTGGGGAATAAGTGTAGAAACAGAATGGGCAATAAAATTAAGAAATTTTCTTGTTATAACTAGTTATATCTTCACAGGCATTCTTCCTAGCTTAAAAAGGAAATAGAAAAAGTTCCAAGTCAGGTTAAGACATGTGGGGCAGCAGGATGTATTGTGCTTTCAAAGTCTACTAAGTTTCCTATGGCAATGACTGACATGTTTCTCCACAACACTTGTTTGACATGGAACTAGAGATGAATTTCAGACCTATATTCATTTGTTTGTAATGTTGGTAAGGTGTGTACACCTTGGAAAGCATCTTCAAGAAATCTAAAAAATGATCCAATCCATTTTATTGCTCTGAATCAGGATTCCCCACTGCCCAAACTTCTCCAACATGTTTGTATATTCTGGAATCTTAGAACAGGAAGACACCCAGGGAACATGTAGGACAAAGATGCAAAGTACCCCCCATGGGCTACATGTGCCCTCCCTAGCCCAGTGGAGATTTTTTTTAATTGGTTCAAAGCGACCAATGGTTTCAGTGTGTGGAGGACCTTTCCACCACATTTTGTCCAAAATATCTTCTAGGTGGCATGGAGGCATTTCCACCTACATGGGGTAGAGTGGAGTAACTGTTTGAACAATTTGATCCATGAAAAGCTTTTTTTAAATAAAATAACATGAGCTGGAAGTGTCTTCCACTCATTTCTCCCAGGCCTAATATGGAACACGAAAGCTATTTTTAAATTATGAAAATATCCCTATACACTCCAGTGGTTCTCAGTCTTTGGTCCTCCAGGTGTTTGGGACTTCAAGTTCCAGGTGCCTTTTAAAGAATGACTGTCAAAACAAGTCAAACATAACAAAATGCTACAAAAGTGGTTCTAGACAAGTATTTTATCACATCATTACCCAATGTCATTCACTGAATTTGACAGTGGCTAAAAACAACATCATTCTCTATTTACAATTGCACCCTTGCTTTCACCACAGCTGTGACATTTTCCTTACTATGAGAAATTCATTAAGAAGCAAAGGTTGAATTAGCTGCACAGCGCCTCCTTTGGAAACGTCTTTGAGTTGCAACAGTACAGCAAATATACTAAGGGCATCTTTCCAAATGGAGAGAGGGAAAGAAACAGCAGTAGATGACTGGTTAATAAAGTAGCAAGCAAGCTCCACTCCAG